TAGAATAAGATCTGTTAAGAAATTGGAATCTGTCTGTTTAATGAAATATTAGTAAATGACCAAAATGTCCTATTTTGAAAAATTTAAATTCTTTAAAACCAAAAACACTTTAATAAGATAATTATTTAATGTATAAAACAATAAAAAATACACAACCCAAATATGACCATAAACCAATCGACGTCATTAAATCGATATTAAAATTGTCTGAAAATACTAATTCTTTATCATGTAAAATGGCTAATTCGGTGGTGATTCAGATAGGCAGTGGTCGATCGTGATTCAGATCGGTGGTGGTCCACGGTGTATAAGATCGATGGTGGTCCGTGGTGGTTTAGATTGGTGGTGGTCAATGGTGGTTCAGATCGGTGGTGGTCTGCGGTGGTTCAGATGGCGGTGATCAGAGGTGGTTCATGTCGGCGGTGGTTCATATAGGCGATGATCGGTGATGGCCGACGGTGATTCAAATCGGTGGTAGTCGCCGGTAGTCAGTGGTGATTCAGATTGATGGTGGTCCACAATAGTTCAAATGGCAATAATCGATATTGGTTCAAATCGGTGGTGGTTCAGATCGATCGTAGTTTAGATCGATGGTGGTTCAGATAGGTGGTGACTGGTAGTGGTTCAAATCGGTGGTAGTCGGTGGTGATTCAAATGACAATGGTCGGCGGTGGTTCAGATAGCAGTGGTCGACGGTGATTCAAATCGAAAGTGGTCGGAGGTGGTCGACGATGGTCATATTGGGTTGTATGAGATTAGAGTATTTCGGATTAAGGGCATAGTTGATATTATGAAAATAGAGAATTTCATTCCATCAAAATACCATGTAGTTGCTAAGGAAAGTTAAATTCATATATTTGTCGAATTTATAGGATTTTGAGGATTCCTTTCGTGAAAAAGAATGAATCAAACGAGGAAATGAAATTTGGTCAATGGAATTCAACATTCCAATTCCGTCAAATTCCTTCAAAATCTATGAACCAAACACCCATGACAGTACAATAAGTCATTGACAAAACCCCCATGATGATGTGTTTTTTTTTTCTATCTTAAGGCAATCATAAACCATAAAGCAAAAGACTTTTTTTGCTTTTTCTTTATGTCCTTATCTACGGAGCAATAAAAAGAAAACCCTTTTAAAATGATGTACATGACAAGATGATATAAAACTTACAAGAACCTGTTACAACATGGCATGAATAGTGGTGCGGGAAGGCAGTGGATCCCAGCTGAATCGTCGATTGCTCAAACCAACACTGTTTGTTCGCATGAACCTTAACAACTTTTGAGAGCATGCACTGATAACGCGTTATTATATAAATGAAATAGAACAATAATAAACTGAGAAAATAAATATGTAATTCTCATTAATTATGAACATTTTAAACAGAGATGTGTCACAAGTAGATAACAATGAGATATCTTAACTTTAATCTATCTTTGATATATTCTATCTCTATCTATAGCATCGTATATCCTTTAGACAATGAAACACTTATCTTACAACACTTCCAAATTTTTTTTAAATAATCTATTTATTGTCCCTCCCGATTATTCATATCTTACCCAGGTTATGGTTTCAATATTGGATTCATGGAACATGAGAACGTTCTGAACCCAGCTCACGTACCCAAATTCTACTTGAGCATCCAAATCTGGGTCAATCCAAGCAAAAACTCCTTAATCAAGTTTCCAGTATGAACCAAACAAAACTTCATCTGAGTTTGAATCCTCCGCAAGATTCGTCCACTCTTTGAAAAAACCATTTCAGTTTTTTGTCACTCATATTAAATTGTATGGAAATTAAATATTTTATAGTAACATATTTTTAAACAACCTTTTATTAAGATAAATATTATATTTGTAGGAAAATGTAATACTTATTATTTTTATTATTCAAAAAATACATATTTTTTTAAAATATTAGCGATATAAAATATTCTTTATAAATCTTATTAATACTATTATATTAATAAATAATTTAATTTTTTTTAATTAATTTAATATATTTATTTAATAGGGTTAAATGCATAAAACATTAACTTTTTTTATTATAGCATTTTTTTTTTCATTTTTACTTATTACAACAATGTACTTTTAAATTATTTTTTATTAGGACGCCATACTTTGAAAAATCTATTCATTATAGCAATGAGTAACATGTTATCTTTTAAACCAGTTAACCGCTTCTTTTTATTGCTTTTTTGGCTTAAATGAGATGATGTAGATGACACATTATTTTAATGACATGACTAAAATAAAATAAAAAACTGTTTTAAATTATTGTTAATGGTATTTACTTTTTCATTTTTACGATCTAAAAAAACATATTAATTTTTTTTAATTTATTGATTGCCTCTACAAGGCAAATCTGATTTTTCTTATTAAATTGCATGCAAATTAAAGTAAAATATTTCTTAAATAAATATGACATATTTTTTTTTCGAGTTAACTATTTTGTTTTTAAAAAGAAAGGTAGCATTCTTATTTTATTTTGTTCAAAATAAATATATCTTTTAAAGGTTTTCTCTAATTTTTTTAAACAAGTAGAACAATATATTCTTTAAAAGATAAATATTTTTTGGTAATAAACGTACGAATTTTTATTATCTTTTTAAAGAAATACATATATTTTCTAAACGTGTGTGAGATGAATTATGTATACTAGTTTTCTTAATTAATATATTAGTAAATATTTAGAATTTTTTTTAATTCATTTAATATATTTATTAATAATATATAACATCAAATTGTTTTATAGTATAATGTTGTAATAAGAAATATCAGTTCAACAAATGTTACACATGAGCGTTCCATGTGGAAAATGACATGACAAAAACCTGGTAACTTCTGTCATGTCATTTTTTTTAATTCAAATAAAAAAATTACCTGTTGCTATAATCTTGATTTTGGGAGATTAAATTTTTAATTAAAATTTAGGATTATAAATGAATACTAAATCCAGGTAAATATGTTTTGATTAAATGTATACTGTTTAGATAATAAAATATTAAAAGTAAAAATGCAATGATGTAATAGGAACTGTTGATTCTATAATAAATTAATTTTAAAAATATAATGTTATAATAAAAAATTGTCACGTCAGCGATATAGTACATGTGGACAGCCTACGTAAACAATGAGGTGACATAAAAACATGATATAAAAAAACAAGTTAAAATCAAAAATGTTACCCAGTACTATAACAGGTAAAATTTTCAAAAACACAACACTTTAATTAAAAAATAATTTTAAAGTACATTGTTGTAATAAGGACTGAAAATACAATGTTATAATAAGAAAATTTATGAAAGTATGTTGCTATTTTATACATTTTGTCTTATTAAATAGATTTATTGTTTATTAAGTGTTTTGAGTAAATAAATTAAGTTGGAAATATAAATAGTTTGATAAAATTGTTTTTTATTTTGTATAATCTAATATTAATTTTTTTTTTTTTGAAGTACATGATATTTATCTACGGTAAATGGAACAAATAAACTCACACATCTTTCTCATCTTTGGTGAGGTTTGAACCCTTGACCTCCTAGGAGGCCAATGACTCACATACCACTAAGCCAAAAACTCTTTATTGATTTCTTTGAAAGTGAGACTTGAACTTTAATAAGTTAAGATGTCATCCATCAAATTTGGATTTTGTTTTAAAAATGGGATCTCATCACTAACACCGTTAAAAATCTCTGTTAAAGACATAAGTAAAATTGTCTAACCATGTATATATATTACATTACTACCCTCATTGATATATTTTTATTTTATTATAATTTAAAGAATTAGTTAAAAAGGTTAGAGGCTTATAATTGTTCTCGTATTTTCGCAAATCACATGGTTCTTGTTTGAATCATTCCCTATATATGTATATGTATGTATGTATGTATGTATGTATGTATGTATGTATGTATGTATGTATGTATATATATGTTAAATATTATAGTTAATTACATAGTTGGTCCCTATAATTTTATGGTTTTTACAAATAAGTAAAACAAAAATAAATTACAAAAAGAGCTGAAAACATGGTTGAACGATTTTACCCTTGACTCTAACGGAGATTTTTAATAGTGTTAGTGATGAGGTCCCATTTTTAAAGCAAAATCCGAACCTGAGGGATGACATATTGATTTATTGAAGTTCAAATCCTTTTTTTTTTTTTAAATCCCTAAACCGTAAGGACCAAAAGTGAAGTTTACTCTTATTTAAATTATAAGATTGAAAACCCTAACCCCAGTTCTCATATTTGCCAAGCCAAGCAGAGAAGCCGCAACAACAAATGATTTTTAAATAGCAACACAGAGTAGTAGTGATCAACAAGTAGCAGCGAACAAGACATGTGTAATTTTGTAGAAGTTTAGTCTCTGAATGGTACAGACATGCCCTAAAAGTTGAGCATATTAAGAGATACATGGACTGATTCAGAGGCTATAACAAGAAAAACCCGAATCAGAGTTAGCTCTAAATCGCATCATTTAGATGCAAACAAAGCTAAGCCCCGTTTGTTGATCAGTTTTATATGTTGCCCTACAAGTCCATCTGACGTCTCTCGCTTCACCTTCACAATTGAACTGACTCTCTCTTCTAGATGAAAAAGTCTCCCACCTTAACCACAAGGGTGGTGCCTGATTGGTTTGAGCTTGACTCCATATGTCAAAAGTACCAGGAGGTCCCAGGTTCAAATCCGATGAGAAATAAAAATCCCCTTGTGGTCACGGAGGTCCAAATGCGATGACTCCGGGCTATCTGCAAAGCAGGTGATCGCCCTGGGATTAGTCGGCTCACATAACGGGTTGAATATTCAGGTTAATAAAAAAAACATTTGATTACTTACGGAATTGAATTGAATTCCAAAAATTCGGTCATGTGAAGGATTTAACTGGAAGAAATAATGGAATTAAAATTCATTTCATCTCAAATTATATAAATGACAAAAATACCCTCTCCTTGGTTTGTTTTGGCCCTAGCCGCGCTCCATTCTTTCTCCCAATCGCTTCCTATCGAACTTCCATCTTCTTTCTCGACCGAACTGCTTCCATCTTCTTCTCGATCAACACAGGTTTGAACACTGCTTCTCTCTGCTTTCATCTGCTTCGATTTCTGTTAATCGATTTCCATGAATGAACAACCCTGTTGATTTCTACTGTTACGAACACTGCTTTCACCCTGTTAATCGATTTCCATGAATCGAACACTGCTTTCATCCTGTTACGATTTCTGTTAATCGATTTCCATGAATCGAACACTGCTTTAGTACACTGGAAGACTCGAGTTCTGTTTACTGCTTTCGTACACTGGAACACTGCTTACTGCTTACATTCCATGTTCTGCTTATTGAACTGCTTATTGGGTTTTCATAAGTCAGACTTTCACATTGCCTATGCCTAGGATTCGTAAAGAAAGAAATTCTTTTGTTTCCTCCTCTTTTGTGTAATTGAATGTGGTGTTTGGACTATAATTTTGGTTTTTTTATATAAAAGAATACACCTTGGTCAAACATATTGCTATATGAATGCAAACTTGATAAGAATTCATGGATTTTTGTAGCAATGTTACAAGAAGGTTTTATGTTTTTATTAGTTGCTACCAAGTTAAATGCATTATTATCTTTTTGTCTTGCGGAATAGAGGGACCTTGATGCATGCTAATGTTTTTAAAGCTCGTAAAATAATTGCAGCTTTAAGAGTTTGAATGTCTGAAGAGGGGATGGAAGAGACAAACTTGTCTGGCTCTAGTGACAAAATAGAAAGGTGCTTTTTTATGGAATATAGTTGCTTCCCTTTGTTTTTATTTTTGTGATTGTTGCCGGACATGTACATGCCGTGCAGTCCTTATCGGAGATCAAAAATGCGATTTTTATTATGAACTTGTCTTGCTGCCAGAGAAGCTCCGCAACTAGTTACAGTATTGAAAGATATAAAGGGTGGGCTTGATGATCTGAGAGCTAAAGTTCAAGTTTTAACTTCAAAGGTTCGAATCCCTCAGGCTTTTATGTACATTGCATTTAAAAAATGATGATATTGTACTTTGTGGAGAGCATCTTTTCGAACATTTATCTTTTCTTACATTAGGTGGAGGTTAGAACCTCTTCTGCCCTTGTTGAAATGGTTCGTCTTTTTATCACTCATGACCAATCTGGTTGTTATGACGATGAAATATTGCTACCATAGTACCGTCAAAGGTGTTACTCTAAAATAGTTAACGCCTATGTGTTGCCAGTTTCTCGAATTTTTAGTTGTTAACTCATTTAGAGTTGTTTGGCCAATATGCCAATACTTTTTTCTCCTGCAATAAATATTGATTTGTTGCAAAGAAACTTGTTCAACTACTGTCACAAGTAGGATATTTGTCAATTTCTATTTCTTTTTGAAGGTTTAGATATACATGTTTGTGATTGACTCCCACTTTATAACGAGAATGTAGAATTAACATTCCCTTTTGTGTAGGAAACAAATGACAGGAGTATATTTCTTTCCAATTTTCTGCAATCTGTTTTTAACACACCCATGTCTCAATTTCTAACACTAATGAAATGGCATTACCATCAGGTAAAGTTGGGTCTTTATCCAACAGCAGATGGGATCAGCTATCTTGAGGCCAAACATTTGCTTCTTTTGAATTACTGCCAGTCGCTTGTATATTATTTGCTTCGCAAGGCGAAAGGACTTCCAATTCAGGGACACCCTCTTGTTCACAGTCTTTTAGAAACAAGATTGTTTTTGGAGAAGGTCATCCTCCTCCTCCCCTTCTTTGTTTATACATTTTCTTTCTTAATAATCTAACTCGTAATTTAAACATCCTGTATGAGTTGTATAAATTGGATCCACTCTGTTTGCTAGCTATGTGAGAATATCATATTTGTTAATTGTTCCTAATAACTAATTAACTATACAATGTGCAGATACGCCCAATTGATAAGAAGTTGCAATACCAAATTCAGAAACTAACAAGATTAACTGGGAACTCAATGGAGGATGCGGTTTCAGATGACAAGAAACCAGATGCAACTCGTGAAGCAGATGATTCATTGAAGCTTCGTCCAAACCCTGACATGCTTATGAACAAAGTTACTCCGGATGTGAGTTATTTTTATCTAAATATTACCCATGACTCCAGGGTTATAACATGTGTTGTTTTCACGCCCTTTTACCATGGAGTCTAAGAGGCCGTTTACTAAATACTTACTGCCTCTTACCGGGTAACTAAACACTTAATTGCCTTTTGCTGGGTAAGAGACACCTACCTGTTCAGAGATGATGGTCTTTACGAACAATCTTATCGTGCCTTTTTCTAACTGAGAATGGTACCGGGTAAGCGTCGACACAGTTTATGCTGGTAAATGGCCCCTAAGAGGGAAAACGGTTATTTCATGTTAGTACACTTCATTTTTGTTCTTGCACATCTACAGCTGGTTGTACTTTGTTTGATATTATCTTGAAAGTATAGTATGTCTCAAGTTTTATGATCTGAATTATAGGATGGTGATGGCAAGTATCGACCCCCAAAGATTGCGCCAGCATCAATGGACGAAAGTAAGAGCTCAAGACAGGAGAGAAATGTGTCAAGAAAAGAGAAACAAGCCTTCCGGCAAGCTCTACAGAGCGAATATGCTAGAGATTTAATGAATGATCTTGAGGGAAGGCCTGAGGAGGTTAGATTGCCCTTATTGTATTTGCTATTTTCAGTTGTTTTGTTGTATGGTATATTATAGTTTGGTTGGTGATATTGAACAGGTAAGGGAGGTTGTTGGAACCGAAGACAGAGATGTGACGAGATATAAGGCAAAGATGGAAGAGCGTGCAAGGAGGGAAGAGGAGCTTTTCACACGTGCTCCTCTTACAAGTATGGAAAAGAAGAAGCTGAAACATATGCGAAAGTCAAGAAATGGGTGAGCCTACCTATTCAATACACATTTGACAATTTCTATTCAAGAGCTTGCTCTTTTTTGGAGAGTAATCTAATGGGGGATAAAATATTTGTATGAATGAATTTTAATATGGTACCAGGCTGCTTGGTCTAGCTGATAGTTTCTATGATGATATTAAATCCTTACCTCTAGAGGAGGGTGTTGGTGGGCAAACGGCGTCTTTTATGGAGGATTCAAACGCTGGAGAAAGGAAGTTCAAGAAACACAAGGTATGCAATTCATATTTCTTCATTAGAAGCTTGTTTTAATTTTTACTTTTAGAAACAAGTTCCTATTGACTCCTTTTTAGAGTGCACTGTGGATTTTGTTTTATTATCATTCAGCATGTGTTTTGAAACTATGAAAAAGTATCATTAAGACCCATACATTCAAGATAGGATCATTGGTATCTGTTATCTTAAAGGAGAATTTATGTATAAAAAAGTGCGGGTCCAAGACATAAAACCACAAAACATGAAGGTGGATGACTTGCTTTTCCAAGTCTATGTGGTCTTGGTCAAGAGCATGCCCAAGTCCTGACTTGTTGGTGAAGTAGATGGCTATGGTAACTAAACCACAATCTAACCGTCTTCATTGCATCTTGTTGTTGTGGTCTTTCTTTCTTTCTGCCCGGTTGTTATGCAATAAATAACGGTATGAATGCCTTTGTAGAAGTGATGTCTGTTTTTTTTGTGCATTCTTTAGTGTATAGACAAACTCAACAGTGGTTGCCAAGTGAGGATACTGAAAATCTTAGTAACCAGGTGGAGTAAATAGACACAAAATATACCATGTGAGAAGGAAGTGTATTATTTGTTATCCAATATTTGTGCAAAATAATAGTAATAATCATTTGCTCAATTCAAGCATATGGCCTTTTTTGGTTGGGGATGTTACCAAGGATCTTTACTCCCTATCACAAAAAAACAACACCACATATGGATCAAAACCTCAAACAACATAAACAACTTGACCTTGCCCCAGAGGAGGTTATGTTAACACTTAGGGGCTGTTTGGCAGTTGCTGAATGATTTAGTGCAGAATAGTTTAGAGGTCAGAATGGTTAAGAGGGTCAGAATGGTTAAGTGCAGAATAAAACAAGGTTGTTTGGTAATTGTTCTCTGAATAACAACAAATTACCATTTTAACCCTTAACAAATTTCAGAATTTTCCCCAAATTTGGCTACTCAATAGTTATCACTTTAAGATCAGCTTCTTGGCCCCTCTCTCTCTCTGTCTCTCTATTTCGATGATGACCACCAGTTCTTGGCCTCTCTCTGTCTCTCTATTTCGATGATGACCACCAGTTCTTGGCCTCTCTCTCTCTCTAGTTATTGGCCTCTCTCTCTCTCTCTATTTCGATTTTATTTTTGGGTTCTGTGATTTGATTTAGGGTTTCACTCTTGGATTTGGTTTATGTTCATAAACTGGATGAGACGCTACCGATTTCATTGATGGGATTATACGGAGTGAGAGAAGGAGATGAAGGATTGTCGCCGTCGGAGAAGCAGAGGCGGGCCTAGTCGCCGTCGGGATTTGAAGACCGGCGACGTGGGGAGGGGCTGGGATGTGAAGACCGGCGACGTGGGGAGGAGCTGTGACCTGTGAGCGATGTGTGATGTTGGGAGAGAGSGCAAATATGGAAAAGGAGGAGTCTGAATGGTTTAGTGACCCATTAGATGCAAAATGGTTAAGAGGGAAAATGTAACCATTCAGAGCTTTTTTTTTTTTGCCAAACAGCCTTGACCTCTTACCGATTAAGAGATTGGCTCTTAATGTAACCATTAAGAGCCAAACAAACAGCCCCTTAGGGGGTGTTTGGCAATTGCTGAATGGTTTGGTGCAGAATGATTAAAAGGTTCTCATGATATAGTGCAAAATGAAATATAATTGTTTGGTAATTTTGTACAATGAAATTAGGACTCTTAATGGTTAAGGGAGATCTAGGATACAAAATCTTTCAATGAGTTTTAGAACCATTAAGAGACAGACTTTTTTTTGCCAAACAAGATTCACCTCTTAACGATTCAGAGGTTGCCTCTTAATGGAACTATTAAGAGGTAAACAAACAACCCCTTATTAATCTTCATTCTTTTTTATGTATTTCTTGCATCATGATTTTGTAAATAGGTTTTACATACAAAAGTAATGATGATGTTTCATTTTATAATTGTTGTTGGTGTTAACAGAGAAGGCATTAGAGATCTCAACTCAGAAGCTACAAACAAAGCAGCATGAGACATGGAATGCTTATTATCAAATGGATCTTATATATAAATCTTTATTAGGTCTTGTTTGTCTTTTCCAATTCTTAAACTATATGCTTATCTCTACAGATTCTTTTCTCAAAGACAGGTTTATCCCAGTCATATCATATGCTTATTTTGAAGCTTTTTATGCCTTTTTACGTCCGCAGTCGAAAATACTTGCAATTTGTCAGTATTTCAACTCACGAGAGTAGTTGTCATGGCCGTCTCTTAGCATGTTAAATGTGAGATTTTGAACAGGCCTCCGGAAATTTTGGGTCCCAAATTTACATGTGTTTAGGGTCTTTTATCGAACTGTCTAAAACTATAGCCGAAGTTATTTAGGTTCAAATCATTAATGGTTTTGGTTTAGTCCAATTTTGTTCTTAACATATATTTTTTGTTATCTTATTTATGCAATGTGATCAAAAGTTTTGGATATAACAGGGCCTCCAAAAAGATTGGAACGTTCACTTGGTGGTGTTCAATCCCATGATCCAGAATCTCTATTCGAATAGTTGTGAAAATAATTGTGCTTCTGTTTGTTTCAAGATTACAAATTCATGATTCAAGTTAAAATAACAATTCACATTTTATACATGTTTGAAATTCAAAACTACATTGCTTTATAAGAAACCAATGCAACACGTTTCAATTCAGAAAACTCACCAGATGTTGTTAGCGTTGTTTGTTTTTTCATAAAAAAAACTCTTATCAGCCATTTATGTTTGATTCGTTAAGAGATAAAGTCATTAAGACTGTTTGTCTTTTTCAAATTTTCAAAGGCATTTATGTCTTATTTTTCTCTTATTTGGTAAAAAGTAAACCAATCTCTTGTTGTTCTTCAAATCCCAACGATGGTGTTTGTCAATCGATTAATCTTACCAAATCAATCTTCACCTCTCTCAATTAATGTATTTTAATAGAATGTAAATATGTTAAACACTGTTAATGACATTTACGTTTAAATGAATGTTAACTATATAATTTAGATGTAGATTTCGTAATGATGATGAATAAATATATGAAAATATATAAATTTATCTATAGATTCAACATTATAATTTTTAATGTTTAAAACAAACAATTTAAACAAATTCAGACGTTTACAAAAAACAAACAGTCTTATTGATTCAGATTTTAGACTTCAGCACCACGCGCTTATAAATCAGAAATGAAATAAGACTTCAAACTTCAGCACCTCTTAAAAAACAAACGCCACCTTAGTATTGTGTGCTCTACTTTTTGACGTCGTTACCTTATATTTGGTATTCTTTGCTCTATTTATTGGGTAAAAAAGTCATGTCAACATACATCTTACCCCACCTCGAGATGGGATATACCGGGCTAGTTTCTTCTTGGTTCAAATGCATCCCTCAATCGGTGTTTTATCATAGTTAACAGAGGAACATATATGGCCAGAACCTGCAACCTTCATAAGAAGCTACTAATGACAATTTGATTCCAAATATGTATATCATATGAATCCGTACGACAATAAAAGAAAGTTTACCCATCGGAAGAAAGAACGACATTGTGAAACAAAAGAGAAGCTCATGTGAAATTGGAGTCCTGGTTGCTTTGTTGAGGTACGTTGTATAAAATGAGACCCGACACAAGGATCATACTCCCGAATATGAAGTAAGGGCTCAAAGTTACACCTCCAGGGAGGTATGGCAATGGAAGGGAGAGGATATAAATGGTGGTTGGCACTGAAATATAACCAAAACAATCTCATTAATAACCATATGAATATATTGAAATTTTTTTTTGATTAACCTGGATATTCAACCCGCTATGCGAGCCGACTAAACCCAGGGCGAATACCTGCTTTGCAGATAGCCCGGAGTCACGACATTTGAACCTCCGTGGCCACAAGGGGATTTTTATTCCTCCTTGGATTTGAACTTGGGACCTCCTGGTACTTTTGACTGGAGCCAAACTCAAACCAATCAGGCACCACCCTTGTGATTTATATATTGAAATTTATACAGCTAATGAGAGAGAGAACCTGATAGCACAACGGCTAGCGAAGAAACTACAGCAGAAGAAATTTTGACTAGGTTGAGGATCGATATGTTGAAGGCAATGTTGTTGACTATGTAAAGTAACGGTAAGAGTGGTGATCCGTCACAACCTGAACCACCCATAACATCATCCGTATTTGAACATTTCCTGGCATCCTCTATACTTAATTAATAGGTCGAATGGATTATTACCTGATGAACTGGCCCCGACATTCAGAAAGCAACCAGCACCACTCTTTATGTATGAAGGAAGCTCATCAAGTGGTATTCCTTTCAGATTTGATAACAGAGGTAGAAACAGAAGCACGAAAAGTGCCTATCACTCCAAATATAACCCATCATCAGCTAAAATCATTGCATATGCCATCAACAACGGTAAGTTTGCATAGAAAAACCAAGTACAATCACACGACATCGTTAGTTAAGCAACAAATGACACATAACTGAAACGTATTTAACAAGTACCTGGAACCCGGAACCAAAGGAATTAACAACAAATATGTCGAGCAATTTCCCCTGTACAAATCAGATTACATGTGAAATACATACATAACAAGCAAACAAGGTCTTTCTTTATATACAAGAGCAAGAGATCATACCTTCAGACGGGTAGCAGCATCAATAAAAATATATTCCTATTCACTCGGACAACAATCTAAAAGTTAGTTACTCTTCTCATATGCATTGCCTGAAATACGAGAATTGTTCCGTGTATTACCTTGATAATACTTGCACCAGCCTGGAATGCACTTGATACTACCATCATTGTTGGCCACATCAACCCAATTCCTGATAGCATTTGACCACTTTCTGATCCACTGTTGTCAACAACATAAAAACAAAATCTTATATTTGTCAAACCATATGCACACACCTGTAAGCACAATTTTTTTTTTTTAAAGTCAAGATGGATAAATAAGGGCATGCTACATGATGCATCAATTTGAGTTGAAGAGGCTCACCATGCCCAAAAAAGTAATTTGGGCCATATCATATGTAATACAGTAGAAATATGCGATCAAGCCCTGGGATCAGTGAAACCCGAAGTGTTGATACCAGGGTATACACAAAAGAAGAAGAGAAATATTCTATCAAAGAAAGTTTGATGCTTCAATTCCACTCTTTTTGATTCACTTCCTAACTTCTGAACATATATATATACACCAAAAAGAAGTTGGTTATAAAAAAAATTATGATACCTTGCAATAGCTGTAACCACTCCAGCAGCCACAAATAGACATCCCGCAATTTTATTCCATGAGTACCTTCTTCCGAGAAGTAGAGCAGAAAAACCCAGCTGCCACAACAAAAACGACTGCAGCAAAAGGGTTTATAGGAATTAGGAAGTGATATACGATACAATCAGTAGCCGCGATGCACACCTAGAGGTTCTCCTTCTTTCACATGCTTTAAACTTGCAACATGCCCACATATGTGTGTGTGCATATGTAAATAAATGTGCATATTATACATTTAAATAAATTCATACAGGATATACACCACAGATTAGGCAGTAAAATAACCAATATTTTCTCATGTGATGAGCCAAGACTCGGACTAAGGCAGGTACAACGCCTTCATACCTCAATAGGTGTCCAAATTTGACTTATAAGATATCAAATAGACTATTTCCAGTTTCAAACCGATATGGGTTAGTTTTGTTTCTCAACAACTAAACTTTACAAAACACGCTGTGTTCGTAGAAAAAGGAAAAAAAAATAAGGGTTGACAAATTAAAATACATAATAATTTTGAATGGAAGCACTGGGGGTTAGGGTTAGCCTTTAAGTCATAATATATAAACACAAAAACTTCTTACCATAATTGACTTCTGCAAAGATTCAGACAGTTATCTAGTGTAATATACATTGAATATCCCTTTATATGAATAAGAGCTGACAGGGAGTCATGATTGTTTGCACTTGTTATCCCTTATCACGCATGTAAATGATAACATAAATATAACATAACTTGGGAAGTATTTGAAAGCTGCCTTATAGGACTGTACCATACTGCCATATGCTGTTATAACTTGCAAGATATTCACTAATAAGATGGATGCTTCAACCATCAAAATGACATAATCAGAAGTAGTGAAACCATTTGATAGAGTACTCTGTACAACAGCCTGTCCACCTCCTCATTTGACGAGAATATCACTATAACCCATGATTTTTTTTTTTATCATAATAAGCCCCAGGTTAGGCGGCTACTGCATCTTTTGCATGGAACATGGATACTTAGTTAATAGCCTTGGAAGATTTCTGCACAAATCGCGCGACAGTACCTGATTCAATATTGGTATAGCTGGTCCAGGGAGCATCGCTGTAAAAGATGCATAACATTCGGTTAGGCAAAAAAAGCTCAATTTATCCTGACTGGATCCCTGTATCCTTTTTGCTAATTAAAACAATTTAACTTGCTTTTGCTTTCTCAGGTAGAATTCAGCAGCATACATGCTGAATTAAGTTATAGAAAGGAACATCTTGATTGGAATTAAGTCAGCCATGCACAAAAAGAAGAATTCTTGACTTGAAATAAGATACTAACTACCAAAGCAAAAAAGATGAGAACAACGAATCTCCAAAGTACACCAAAATTCTGACATATCCCGAACATGATACTCATAAAAGAAATGCAAATAGTGCAAAATACCTGCAGCATACATCCCAGTAACAACTCCTAGGGCTTCTAGCATACCAATTATCGCAAAGCGCCGCTTTGGAAGGGTCATCATCTCATCAGTTACAATTCCAGCACGATGTCTTATATACAGTATAGAAAAATAAATCACCACATACCTGCATTACAGAACAGAGAACATTTTCAAGGAAATTGATTGATAATGTTAGAATGGATCATCAATAATATACTTTGCTATTAAAGGGAACAATCTATAATCACATCAAATCCCTAAATGGAGAAAGCATGAACATGTCACATTTGGTATTATGCATTATAACTTGAAATTAGAAACCACTGCTCCCACCATCACAAATTAAATGTCAGTGTGTCACAACTGACATTTGGAGATTGTGTAAGTGTGAATACGTCGTCCTTTTACAGAGAAAAAAAGAACATTAACAATGATTGCTTTTATTTAATACAAGCGATAGATAGCAATATCTATTCATCAATCCATGGGTATTAAGTCTAAATGTCAAAATAACTTAAGTATTCATTAATGATCACATCCATCGAAATGCATAACTTCCAGATAAAGTAACTACTTGCTAAACTCCAAATTACGCATCAGAGGCTTCATGCTAAGTTCAAAAAAGTTGAATAACCTCGGTAGCACTATAAGGGGATCAAAGATTTTCTAACCGACAGGAAATAAAATTCAGGTGTCAAGATGGTGTGGTCGAGCTATAATATAGTTGACATAGCCATAACATACAATCATCAATAGATAGAAGAAAACTACTTACCAAGTGAACTGTTTCAATTGTGAGTGTAATGTTACATGCTGAAAAGTACCGTGTTCAATAAAAGCATGCAATATCTATCTATAAAATTGGATCAATCTGAATTTGACCATACTGCCCTAAATACGTGCAAGTTCACACTATTGTACAACTTCAACAATCTTCCAAGCAAAATTAACAAGCTTACACAATAAAAGTATAGCCATATGCTTAGTGGTATGCTTCAGACATTAAAAGCTTTCATATAGTAATTGATAAACAGAGTTGTAAGCCTAGCAATTCTCAAGATTTCCGTAGCTTAAAAGCTCACTTTGTACACCAAGATCTTTTGATTCCTTTTTCAGAGGTCATGAGATCTCATAATTTCATCAGCAAAAATGGGTCCTAAGTAACCTGGTTAGATAAAAGGTATAACAATCTTAAAACGCTCATGCTTTTCTTCATCAGCAAAAATCGGTTTTTGACCCAAGTAACCTGGTTAAATACTCATCATTTTCACAGAATACAGAATCCCTAATATCTTTTCATAACAATTAGATATTAGTTTCTTTCTTTTCTACACAAGCACACAAGAGCACCCCAAGGGAAACAATTCCCAAATCAGGAGCAATACTTCACCCCAAAAAAGAAAAAAAAATCAGGACTCAGGAGCAATCCAGGAATTTTAATCTCATGCAGTGAAAGTTGCACATTTCACTTGGAGTTTCTGAAAAGGGGTTAGCCATTAACAGGAACTAAGATTGTAATAATTAAATATTAGCGGAGCCTGTGGATGTCAAAGTCACAATACATAGATTCCCCATGACGTCAATTGATCTTTATACTTACAATAATATTCGATCCAAAGGAAAGAAGATAAATTACCCAAAAGTGTTGACTTGAGCCATGAAGAAGGGATATTCCTTCATAGGCACTAGAGCAAGCTTATAGAGCACCCGATTGCCAACAGCTAACACTAATGTAACAGCAGACCAAAAAATAATTCTACCATTTGAATTCGAAGGAGCTTGTGATTGTGAAGTCTTGATCGAAGATCGGACGACAAATTTAGGATCCGAACGATGTCGAATTCGATCGATCCTCCTGTAATTGATACCGAATCCATGTGCATTGTCAGCGATGGAACATGAGCGCATTTGGGCAGAAATATGGGTAAATGATAATAATGAGGGCTTTCTAGGGCTTGGGAGAAGAGTATTTGGGAGGTGAATTTTTGAGCCATTGTTGAGGTTAAGAGTGAGATTAGAGTTGACGAATTGGTGAGAAGCGAGACACGCAAAAGCCATTGATTTTGAGAACAATCGAAGAAGATTCACCTGTTGTGTTGTTTACAAGACAAAAAATCAATTTCTTACTAGAATCATATCATAGTGTAAGAACAAAACAGGAAATTATGAACCAAGAAATTAAGAACCACACTTTTTTGGAGAATCATAGTAAGAACAAAACAGTAAGAACATCATAGTAAGAACAAATGGAACAGATTCACATCAGAAATCACAGATTCATAATAAAAACAAATGGAACAGATTCACACCAGAAATATTAAAGTTTTAAGTGTTCAACAACTTGCTGAGCTTGAAGTAGAAGAGTGTTGTTAATCGACCAAGGAGACCGAGCACTGATTGATCTCCTCGATACATGAGTCATGAAGTAGAAGTCGTTTGGTGCTGATTGCTGAGTGGTTGACGAGAAATCATGCAATTTTAACGACGTTGAAAATTCAATGGTTTTGTTAGATGAGATTTTATCGATTATATAATTTACGCTTGGTTTTTATATATTAAATCAATTTAAATAAATAAAAGTAATGGTTTTAATCACAGTTTATCAGTGAAAAAAATTATATGACTGATTAAAAATCCAATATATTTAAATCAATTCAACCTAATATAAATATTTATTGAAGTATAAAAAAAGTTAATTTGAATTTTGCATCTTGAATTAGGAATATGGTTAAAATGTTTTGATGATTTTTCAAATATTCTTGGATAGTTGGATGAAAATAAACCAGTTTAATCATATGATATTGATTGACTATGCAATTTTAGTTGGATAAACAATTGATATACAATAAAGAGTTGGATTAGATCAACTTCATTTAAGACGTCATTTATTATTTAGTGGACCATTTACCTACTGAATAAACATGACAAGTACCGAGAATCTAAGGGGTCGTTTACCAAACACTTGTCCAGTAAGTGCTTATCGGTAAACTTTAACACTATTATTTACTTATCGGGTAAGATTTTAGTTCATCAAAACGACATAGTATGCAACAATTTACTTGGTAAGCGTTTACCGTGGTAAGAGTTGTCGCACTCATTTACCAAGTAAGACTCTTAGTCCTTGTCTCGCTCTTACTGGGTAAGATTCTCAGTTCTTATCATATTCATCCGATGAGGTAATGTTATTTGGTAAACGCTTATCAGGGTAAGAGTTTGGTAAACAACCCCACAGTCGACAAAAGCGACGATAAAGATGGAGAGTCTTATCACCTAAAACCAACAACAAAACCACTGTGATTGGACACTTTTAACTTGTTTCAATTAGAAGTTTCTAATCTAAGGAATTTTTGCCGCTCATGCTAAAACCCCACAAAATAGAGACGAATATGCACCAAGATTATGCAAAAGATTCACCCATCATTTAACAACAATATAGTGTTGGTATTGATTCTAAAACAAAATGAGAGTCTTACATTTGTGATGCTCTTTCTCATGCTAAAGTCGGTATTCCCTTTCTATAAGTTGACAATTCTTCATCTGCTAATTGACAATTAGGCGAAGAACTCGGTCTGTCATGTCTACAAAGCAAAGAATACAGCGCAAATGTGCCTCCTGCCCCATTATCATCAGCTTTTAGCACAATGAACACATATTTCAACAAAGGAACTAAGTAAGAGTCCAGAAAATAAAATAAAAAGTGCCCCCAAAGATTTCTTTTTTAGTCTCTGAATCTTCAATATCTCCTATAAAAGTGCTTTTAAACACATATAATGGTGAAGTGCTCAAATCTCCACAAACAACACCCAAGCTTTGATAAGCCAATGTCAAGATTGACTTCCAAGACTGTTTCTGTAAACAATAACACCACAAATTTCAAATGGGTATTGTCTAAAAACTCCTAAATTAAGAAATTACAACGTACCCATCTCACCTTTAGATGATTCTGATGAAACCTAGTTTCCAGATCCATGATAAGTTACCTCAAATCAATAAAGAAACCACATTTATCTTTATGCATAAAGAAATACTACCTTATGCATTTAAGGTTGTTTATAAAACATTTATCATATCTGATTTATAAGGTAGTATAAATATAGATTACATCCTTAATGCAGACCAATTATCACCTTATCTTCTTATATGCTCATATCCTACTACTTTATGATCATTTGATTCACAAAACCAGATGGAATCCCATACACAATTTCCACTCAAATAAACAACTTCTTGTATACTTGCCATCAATTTTACAACCTAAGAACCCACCAGTCTTTGCAGCAACTCCTAACCATATCATAATTAAACCCCTTGATCTCTATTTGTTGTTTCTGGAAGAACTTGGTGGTCATAGGAATGTATAGAATCAATTTGACTCCAATCATGACACATGTTGAAATAAATAATTGGTCATAGGAATGTCACATGTATTGAAGCCTTGTCCTTTAAGAATATCTATTTATTTGAAGCCTTTTTTTTTTGTTAAGAAGTTGTATTTCTTCTATAATATATGCATATTTCTTGAATGAAATGGAAATTTAATAGCCTTAGCTTCTCAGTTGTGGAAGCATTAGACTTGATGAATTAGAGTTTAAGCGACAAAATAATAGGGATTATGGGTTTTTTTTTATTAACCTGGATATCCAACCCGCTATGCGAGCCGACTAATCACAGGGCGGCCACCTGCTAGGTACATATCTTAAGGATTATGGCAAACTTTAGAATGTAGTATATGGATCAATTGAAGTATTGATGTACATACCTCATGGAAACTTTAAAATGGGAAAAGTAGTATGCAAACATCACATATGAATCAATTGAAGTATTGGTGTACATCCTAAGGTGCTCAATCTGAAAGTTGAAAAGAAAGCTTAAAATAAACATCATCACACACGAATAAAGTGCAAATAAGTAAAGAAATTATGTCACATGTTCCATAAATACCATAAGCATCAAATTCATATACACTTTGAAGCAAAAGAAAGTAACTCTAAAATGAAAGAATTTGAAAAATTAAAGCACCTAGTTGAGGAAAACAGATTTACACAATTTGTGAGTGCAAAAAATAGCTTATGAACACTTGCAATGCAGATTAGTATTGTAATTTGTAGCAGTTTCAAACACAGATAAAAAATGAAGAAAAAAACAAATCCATGGCCTAACTTGTGATTTTAAAATTGTATGGAGTGAGATTGCTACAAAAGAAGTGAAGATTCACCCCTCTCAAACCCTAAATTCAAAAATCAAACACAAACCCCAGAAATCATTAACAAATACATAAAATGTGCTTTGGTTGTTGAAACTCTACGCGCAATTGTTGTAGCCCTATGTAGTAACCAGGTAGAGCTTAGTGGGAATCGTCGTTCTTGGAGTGAGATCACCGTTTCCAATTTCAAAAACCAAAAGTTTTTTGAAAACGTTTCATATAAAGTAGAGAGGGAACACAAAAGCGATTATCAAAAACACGAGCAGAGATGGAGAAAAACCGAGCAGAAATTGATTATTAAAATTCAAGCAAAAATATAGAGCTCAAGGGCAAAAGGAGAAAAGAACAATGGAGAAATGTTAAACCTGAAGAACATGGAGAAATCGAGTGGTGGAGAAATCAACAATCGAGACCGAAAACAGGGAGATATTAGAAGGAATTAGTGTCTTTGGGAAATCAAACATCATGTCCAGAAAATCGAGATCTTAGAAAAAAAATTAGTGGAGGAACCCAAGAGGTAAGAAAATCTTTGCGTTTGGGATTTTTATGGGTTCTATGTGAAAACTAAAAAGGCACATTGGAAGTCTGAAGAGGCACATAGCTGATGTATTATCAATGGATTGTGTAGCATTTGGAATTTCTATAGGTTTTACGTTGATTTTACTAAGATTTTGGTACTTGTTTTGTCCGATATCTTGAGATCAATTTTTGCGTGTTTGTATTACAATTTGCTCAGCTGTGTTTTCTTTTGTTCCTCGTGACAGATAATCAAGAGGGCGGCTAAGTCTTATGGCAGAGAGTAGACCAGGAGGTTTCGAGAGGTTTAGTGCTATATTATTCAATTATTGGATTTATTTCATTGGCTATTATATTAGCTTTTCTTTTAAGGTTATATTTGAGTTTCCTTTAGTTGTTGGAAGGTACCTGAAGTGGTTTGTTTGGAGATGTTTATTTCTTTATTGGGGAGATATTTAAATTCGTTATTGAAAGATTTTTATTTTTGTATTGAAGACTATATTTTGGAGGCTTTATATATCGGCTATGTTACATTTTGAAGCGACCTCCCTTCTTATGGAATAGAGGTGTTACAGTTATGGTATCAGAGCCTAGGTTCGACCTGTAGAAAACCAAGTAGGTTTGACATGTGAGTGTCAAAGTGTGGGTAGAATTGGGGTTTAGAACTTGTTTGAGTTAGCTTTGTTATTATTCTTTATTCCTTGTATGTGATAAAAAATTTCCTTTCAATTTAGAATAGCTCGTCGATCTCAACGTGTGGGTAGTATGTGTAACCGTACTTCAGTGGGAGGCCTTGGGCCTTTTCATCTGGATGTTAATGAGGGTGAACTGGATCCAACTATTTTGGCAGCTGTGAATTAGACAGTTTCTAGTTTACTACCCAACATTATATCCCAAGCAGTCGAGGCAGCTCAATAACACTATACCATAGGACCCCCACCAGTCATAGAGACACTAGGGGGCAGTAACCCAAACCAAACCAGAGATACTAGTAGGTAAACACCAGATGGGCCCATTCATGTGTGGCTTGAGAGATTTTAGAAACAGAGGCTTTAATCCTTCAGTTTGGCACCGACTCTCGTGGATGCAGAAAATTAGATCACTCGCATACGAAAGATGTTTGAGGTTCTGGGGTGCCCAGAAGTGCACAAGGTTAAATTGGCGGCATGCAAACTGGAAGGAGATGCTCAAAGATGGTGAGACGCAATCAAGCAAGCTAAAGAAAAGGAAATGCATACATTGATACCCTTTCGTGGATGGGGTTCCATGAGGCATTCTATCAGCAGTATTTCTCAACTGCGGATAAAAATGCATTTGTGAGAGAGTATGCCACAATCCGCCAACAAGATGATGAGTTTGTAATAGAATATTTGACGAGGTTCTTGAGGCTCGCTGGTTTTACAGGGTTGTCAGCCGGGACATCTCTAGAGCAAGCTGAAAAGTTTAAGTGGACAATTAATTACAGGTACCTTTGGCCTTTCTAGACTGATCAATGAGAAATTTACTGATATGGCACAGGCGGCAGATGCTGCCAAGAACATTGAGATGGAGTAACAAGACTTTTTGGATGAACAAGATGAAAAAAAAGAAGAAAAAAAACGAGTTGAATCTGGATGAACAAGATGAAATCTCGATGCAATCTGGATCTGGATCTAGTTCGTCGATGAACACAAAGGTTTTTGCGATATGCATTATTGCTTTTGTACCAATTTCAATTCTTACTTTTATATCATTTTTTCCATTTGATTTTGCTCTTCAAGGAAATTGGTTTTGTTGTATAAATCAATTTTGGTTTTGATTTTGTAAGCTGGATGTCGATTTTGTTGTATAAATCATTCTGAGTTTGGGCTATGTCGTGTGTGTGAGAGGAGAGAGTTGTGTTCAGGCCGGAGAAGATGATCAGAAGGTGATCGGAGATGGTGAGGGTGGACGGAGGATGAAACAACGTATTGGGTTTATGTTTTTTCTTTTCCCCTTTAAATGCTTTCATATACTTGTACAAATAGCATCAAAGTTTGTACTCTAAAAAATCATATACATATCATCTTTTCAGATTTTTTTAAATTTTAATTATGACATGAAATTTTGATGGTTTTTTACTTGGGCCATGTCATCACTAGCAGGTAATAAGGTAATATGGACCCTTGAACAAATGAAAAGTTTACTACATAACTTAAAATGATAATTTTGAAATTTTGTTCCCTAAAATAGGAATAAACTCAAAGTTGGTTCCATTTTGATGCAATTTTTCTTTTGCAAAATGACCTCTTATTCTTATTTTATATTTTCTTTAAATAATTTTTTATGACTATAGTACCCCTAACATTTACCAACGGTGAGAAAAACCCTAATTTATACAACTCGTCCCAAAATTTACATAAATGCTTACGTGTTTATTCCCTTCCTCTATTGACGATTGTTGTTGTCGGTTGCTACTGTGGTTCGACCGTCGCTGCTAGAGACCGACCACCGCCTCTAATATGTGGTCCAGTCACCACCACTCACTTCTACATTTGAATTTTACATTTATGTTTCTCAAACAATGTTGCTACACAATAGCATCAACGTCATCTGCTTTCATTTCTCTCTTCAGTAAAACTCCATCCTTTTAACATACGTCGAAACTTTAAGTTCATACATGTCCAACGCCAATTTAAGTGTTTTTTATCATACTCTTAAACTCCGCCAGTCTTTACTACTTGTGCTATTTTATTTCAAGCGAAGCCAAAATTAAAACTGTACATTTGGATAAAGTAAGAGCATGCTCAGATAGGGCAATGGCATGGGGCTGGTTGAAATCTAGTTTGATGGGGAAACACCAGAAATCGTTCATGGCGAGCTCATCCAAACCGGCACCTACTTATTAAGAAGAATACTGCTCATAAAGGTAGAAATTATGCATGTTTATCTTTTTGTTGTATTTAAGAGTAGGGGTGAGCAGCGGAACCGGGTACCCGACTATGGAACCGGAACCGCCGGTTCCGCAACCGGAACCGATATGAGTGGTTCCGGTTCATAAAATACGGAACCGATTGAGAATGGTTCTGGTTCCAGTTCTCAATTTTCGGAACCGTTACCCGCTGGGTACCCGGTATTTTTAAATAAAAAAATTATTATTATTTTTTAATACCAAATTTATATTAGGTTTACATCTTGAAAGCACGCCGTCATCTTCATTCTTCATCTAAATTCTTCATATAGAATGATTCGTATTTTTTTTAAATTGTGTGTTCACTTGGATTCATAGTATGTAATCGTTAAACTTTGAAAATTTACCATTATAGTATGTAATCGTTAAACTTTGAACATTTTCTATTAGTCTATTATGGTTTGTAATCGTTAAACAATATTTGTAAGCATTATTATATATAATTTGTATTCTTGCTTATTTAGTGTTTTGGCAACGTTTTATTTTTTATTTCTAAATAACAAAATTTTAATATTTTAGGAAGCGGGTACCCGGAACCGGAATCGGTTCCTGTTCCAAAAATTTAAGAACTGCTCTAACCGGTTCCGGTTCCAATATCTCAAGAACCGCCGGTTCTGGTTCCAGTCAAAAAGGACGGGTACCCGCCTATGCTCACCCCTATTTAAGAGGATCATCCAAAGCTGTATTCCCAATTTCGCTGCTAGCCTTATCCTTTGATTAATCAATTAATATCAGCTTCTAATGCGATTATCAACAACTACCCCTTTAGTCCCACAAAATGTAAGTTTGATTTGACACATGGTTTAATAAAAATCTGTAACTAGTTCCATATGTGTTGGCAAATCGTCCCTAGAGTTGTCACATCTATGTTTCTTGAATTTGGTCAAAAATCGCCCCTGTTGGGTGATTTTCAGTGTTGTCTTAGAAAAATCAGATTTTTGTCCCCCAAATGATAAACATGTAAGATTCATTCGTACCAAAATGTAAAAATTGCCCTACTTGAGGCTAAAATTGTAGTCATTTTAGGAGATATCTCTGGAAAAATGGTCATTTTAAATGATTTCCATTAAGTTGAGGGACTAATCTTATAATTTACTCAAAAAATCATTTTAGATATTTATTCAACTAAATATCTCTGACGCACAGGTAATTACGGTGGGGCCGCGTCGCTTGTAACAAGAGCCCTACATAGTTGCACCAAACCAAGCCACATCATTTCTTCCTTCCCCGTTGCTCTCTCCTTCCTCATCGTTCTCTGATAACACCACCAGAACACACACACACAGAGCGCATTGAATCGCCAAGGCCTTTTCTTGGATCCAATGGGCATGGCTCTCCCTAATATTGGTTCCTTCTCTTCTTCTCCAACCGCCGCCGTTGCTCCGCCATCAACGAACTCCTCCTCATCGGCCGATGACGCTTCCAAGAAGATCCGAAAACCCTACACCATTACCAAGTCCAGGGAGAGTTGGACTGAACCGGAGCATGATAAGTTCCTTGAAGCTCTTCAACTGTGAGTTTCCTTTAATCGTCACCTAACCTGATTGATTGATCCAGTTTCTGAATTATCTTGTGCTACGACTCTAGGGTTTAACTGCCATTCACAATTGAATTTCACTTTTAGGTACATGTGAAGTTTGAGAGTATATGTTATTGGGACTCGTAAAATTGAGGGGTCTGGGTTGTTTTGCGGTTGGTCGGACTATGTTGTTTATTTTTCTTTTGGCAATCTGAACTCTATTCGTGGGATCGAGAGTTTATTTTACAGTAAATTACGCTGATATCCTGATTATTATTCAGGGTTTCATGTTTAGGGAATGTTGTACGTTACGGAGTTTCATTGATTGTTCTGTTTCCAAGTTGTCATGGTTTTCTGCTGAGTTGCTGGTGATTATGGTAGAACGTGGTTGATTAGTCTCGATGTCATGCCACTCGAGGGTGAAATAACTTTATGATTCCGTGAGTCCTCTAGATGTTAAGGATCATCAAGTCATAGCGAAGCTAGAAGTAGTGTGTTTTTATCACATCCACAAAAATTAGGCTGTAAATATGATGAATTATGCTCATGGATTGAGTTGAAAATATTTTTGCCTGTCTGCTGCACTGCTATGGGGCATGCTGAACATCATAGTTACACTATAGCATGTGACTTATCTGCTAAGAGTGTATATGTCAGGAAACATGGGTGGTGATTCTTTTAAACTAGAGAGCTAATGCGTTTGATCCCTTGCAAACTTTTTCTCTCTCTCCCATGGACTCTAGGATCGACTAAGCCCACAGCACTTTTTGGTTTTTGTTTCTCGGCTGAAAAGCATGCTGAGGCTACATTAACATGCTTCTAAAACTTGTAAAGTTGCTTTTATTTTTTAAAGAAGACCTGGAAAATGACACACAAGTGAGCATCCATGGCAATCCGCTAGGCAATTAATAAGTGTGGGCTTTGAACTCAGGACCTCTAGGGAGCATAAACCTGCTATTGTAGCTTTCAGCGGGGTAAACAACTTAGCTAAATGACTTTTGGAGGGCGAGTCAAATGTCCCCTCACATTATTTTTCCTCCTTAAAAACAAGTTAGACCGTTGATTAGGCATCCATTGACATACATCCGTCTTTGTCGGTCATCAAACACTTATTCCGTATATTAGACAGCCAAGGATGAGTCCTTGAGTCTATCTTGGAAGCTAGTTCAATGTTTCTCCGCTTTCAACATTTAACAAGCCTAGCAACTCCATATGCATGCTTTCGTCTAAATAATCCATGACTTACCTTCAGGACTTGCCTCCTTCCAACTACTAGGACCACAACACCTCAGATCACAATATGTCCTATAGTTGTAGAAGGTTTTTTGAATGTAGATGAACACAACACACACACACTCACACAAGATATCTGCCTGCCTTGTATTCTCAAGGTTTCTTGTTAGATAAATAATCAAATCCTTTATTTGTGTTTGAATGCAAGTGGTAGTTCCAAGTTTCATACACAAATTTTGGGAGAAAATGGGATGAACTGCGATGATTCTTTTGGTTTTGGTGGAATCCTATAATAAAATAGCAATCCCTCGTGGAAGGCAAGGAAGTTGAAGGTTGCTAGTCTCACATGGAATATGTTCTTTATTATAAGCAGTGTTCATAAAAGCTCGCTGCAACAGCCGCCATGCCGCGCTGTTGCTCAAGGCTTGTGTCTCACGTCACGTTAAACCTGTGGCACGCCGTGACCTAATGTGTGGTTTTTGTGACTCAATATTTGACTTCTCTTACTTTTTTAATGTCTTATTTGTTAGTTTTTAATGTATAACTTAATTTAAATTATTTAATATCATTGACTCATTGAGTTATAGTAGAATATATATGTTTATATATATATAATTTATATAATATAAAGATTTGCTGCCCTAAGTCACGCATTGAAAAACGCCGCGGCCTCGTCGTGGCTCCTAAGGCTTGAGGCTTGACCTCGCCACACCACGCCTCACGCCATTTAGAACCTTGGTTATAAGTGCTTCTAACACTCTACTACAATGCATCTGCCACCATGGTCATTTGAGTCATGGGAAACCCCTTTCTCTGAGGCTCCGTGTTGCAAATTTTTCTTTTTAAGGCTCGCTACAACACGAGAGGTTTCACAACTTTCTTGTAAGACCTGCCACTAGAGATGTGGGGGTGTTTAGGGAGACATAACAAGAATTAGAAATGTTGCTATTGTTCGCATCTGCAAATAGACACTTAATTTGAAATTCGGGGAGGGCATACATTAATCTTTAATTCTGCTTTCTGCCAATTAAACTACCTTGAAAACTTTTGCTTGGAGTAGAGTTCTGTGGATACGTATGGCATTCAGTCGTCAGTGGCAGATACACGAATGTGAACTTGGGGATGCCCTACCACGAATCCATGATAAATATAAACTGGGTATGCACGGTTTGTATAAAACTTTTTTAAATGACATTTTTTTCTTCTCAAAGTATGCTCATGCATACTGGTGTACTAAATAGATCTGCTCCTGATGGGGTTCTTGGTGTTGTAAATTTAACTGACATACACCCTCACTTTTTATCTTAGCTTTGAATGAAATATCAGTATCCTTTTTGTAAAGATGGCCTACCTGATGCATTGTTTAAATCTCCATGCATATAACTCCTCGGCAGGTTTAGCCTTTGGTGGTCAAACCTGGTTTTTGCGAGTGCACATGGCAATGGACGCTGAAGCAGGCACACACAAAGGAAATTTAGAATGAAGAAAAGTCTTACAATATCAACTTAAATTTGTACATTATCATGGTTATCCGGAATAATGTACTAGATTTTGCTCTAAGTGAACGTAAGTTGGCTGGTTCCCCTTCGGAAACAAGGTGTACGTCCCAGATACATTTGTGTATATAACACTCCGTATCCAACATATCTGTGTTTATCCATAGCTTAGAAGTTCAATTCAACATGTGCGGACAAGGTCTGGAATCAGCGAAGAACTGTAATTTTCTTCCTAACCTCACATCTTATATGTGCCTATCTGACATCATTAAAGGTGAACCGAAGGAATGCATGCTTTGTATTTACTTCACATAAGGAAAGCTTGGTATGCTTCTTCATTTTTCTACCACTACACATGTACTGGATTTACGAAGATTTCATGTTTAACTTTAACTGTATCCAGCATTCTCTTTCACACCCAAAGCACCTAACCTTAACATAGTTATAATTGAACTCCAATCGGCCTAGACTTCTACTACACAGCTATTAAGTTAGGAGCTTCAACTTGTGAATTGGTTGTTTATCCCCATTAAGGATAGGAATGGACACCCAATACACACAAATGATAAACAGTTGAAGAGCTAAGCTCATCATGGTGGTAGGTTTTTGATGGCAAGGCTCTTACCATGGCATGGTGGGCAGTGATTGACGTCTATCATGAAAATCTTATTGCTTATTTGAATTGGCTCTAAGTACAATTGTGGATTCTAGTTCATAGACCATTCTTGATGTGGACCAGTTACCTTATTGTTTATATGCTCCATTGATTTACAGCTTTGATCGTGATTGGAAGAAAATTGAAGCTTTCATAGGTTCAAAGACTGTCATCCAGGTGAACTGTGAACTCTCTTTTTGTCAGTAAACATCTCTTGTTACATTAACCCTTTATATCATGTAAATTGTTTGTAAGAGAACATCTTGCAAGAAAGAACTATGTAATCTCTTCTTTAAGCGGTAACTTTTTTAATTTTTATACTAGCAAAATACAATTACTTCTTCTTACACAATAAGTACAATCACATTTTCATTGTTAAGATTCTTTATAAGAAAGATCTTATCTTTTTTTATTGGGATATTTTTTCTCTAATTTTCTTGTCTCAAAGGCATACTTATATATGCCTAGTGATAACTTCTGATGGTCTCCAAGTCTCCAATATTCCCGATTCAATGTCTGTGAGAATAAAAATTATATATTTTGCATTTTGCTTTGTAAAACTGTTTCTCAAGATATTGAAAGTTTTATATCATGTATTCAAGGATAGAGCGTTTGCTTAACTAAAGGTGAAAATTGGTTGTTCAGATACGTAGTCATGCACAGAAGTACTTTCTGAAGGTTCAAAAAAGTGGTACAAACGAACATCTGCCTCCTCCTCGTCCGAAAAGGAAAGCTGCTCATCCATATCCTCAAAAGGCTCCAAAAAATGGTTCGTACATGAGAAAACTAGGGCCTAGGGACTTTATTTTATAGTATTGTATGTAATACTGATCAGGTTTGCTGTATTTAACAGCTCCGGTTCTCTCAAATGTTACAGCATCATTTCAAACCTCACCTGCTTCTACTGACCCTGAATTTAATCCGAGTGATCCTTCTGCAGTGGTGAAGAACCAGGTCGAAACTGGTAGTTTGTCCGGTATAGGGATAGGTAAAAAAATTCTGTGGGTCAATGCACATGATTCTGTTGTGGCATCATATTTTTTAGTCTTCACTAGTTGCTTGTATTTTGCTATTTACTATCTTCACATGGTATGATTTATAGACGATATGGTATCCGGAGGCCAACCAGAAGCTGTTAACTGTTGCAGCAGTAATGCGAATGCTCCAAAAACACAAACAAGTGAAATACGTGAACAAAGGAGTCATGGACTTCCGTCAAGAGGTAAGCTATTGCTTAGGACTTGCTTATTTATACGCATTGCAATACTTCTTGCAATGAATATAACATCAATGTTTTAATTTGTATATCTGTAGTATGTTCTGCTATCATCTTCATCAAATCAGATTATGATTCAGTTCTCTTATCATGAAATGTTGCTGCCTAAATTGAATCTTGTACACCTTAGTAGATATCTTTTTTCCTTCTTTATGTATGCGAGTGAAACTTTTATTTACAACAATCCTTTGAATACCATGGACAAATAAAAGGTAAAGTTATCATTGAGATTTGTTTTTTGATGCAAAAATGTTGTATTCTTTTTTCATTGATGCAGTTCTGCCCGACTTTGCTCAAGTATATGGCTTCATTGGCAGCGTGTTTGATCCAAATACTGATAGTCACTTGCATAGACTAAAAAAGATGGACCCGATTGATGTTGAAACGGTATGCTCTCTAACTCCATTTCTGATCCTTTTGGAACTGTATTTTTCCTGTTGTGATAGGATGTTTCTTGTAACAGCATATACTTATTTGTGTGTTTGTAACGTAGTTTGTGTTTCAGATGATTCTTTGTTTGAATATGTCGATTATGCTAATGCTTGCAGATGAGTAATTCAAACTTAATGCTGTTTTCCATCTTTCAGGTCTTGTTGCTAATGAGAAACCTCTCTATCAATTTGACGAGTCCTGATTTTGAGGACCATGTAAGCATTCTTTAACTTATTTTCTCTACCTTATAACATATGTAAGATATGATATATGGCTATTTCGACTTTTCGAGACACGCTACATAAACCTTGAGGGGCAACTCATCTGGCAAATAAGAGCATCTCCAAAAGTTTATCCATAATCTTTATAAAATGGAGAAGTAAAAGTCATTTGCATTCAGCTCCAACAATTTCGCCATTTTGGAGATTTTAGCATTGATTATATTATTAAAACATTCATTAATATAAAAAGCTTCTTCTCTCACTTAGTCATAGTGTAAGAGGCTAAGAGCTGTCGCCACCCTATCTGGCCCGCTAGAAAATTGAGCTTGGACTACCATTCTTGAAGAAATGGGCGGGGTCGGAGTGACTTGTTAAAATTAATGGACGGACATGGGAGTTGCAAATTTTTTTTGGGCAGGACCGCCCGACCCGTTAAATATTTTTATAATAATTAACTTTTATAACTAAAATTTACAAATAAAATTGAAAATTCTTGGTACTTATCAATTCCCACTTAATTATGACTCAGATAAAAACACTCTTTGGAAATCGAAAAAATAAAAACAACATTACCTCAATTGATCAATTCCTTCTTATCTTATCTTATTTGATCATTTCTTTTATTGAAACTCCATATTTTGCAAAACAATTTTTTTTTAAATTATGTACATTGTTATGTATTTACATCTAACTTCAAGTTGGAAAAATTGTTATGTATTTTGAATTATTTTACATAACTTGTGATTTTATATAAGTTTTGTTTTCTTAAAAATATAATAGAAATTCGGCCCGTTAGCCCGTGTGCAAGCCCTACACGGGTAAAAGGTGGGTAAGGGCAAGTTTTCAAGCCCATAAAAAGGGCTTGGGTTTGCTATATTAAGCTTGTTGGACAAAAAAATAGGTTAGGCAGGCCCAAGCCCGCAAATGATCAGCTCTAACTTAGTGGTAGGTTGGGTAGTTTTTTTTTGAGAAGAACAAAAAGTCGTTCTCTCTCTTCATGTAGTTTTGGAGGATTCTCCGAATTTGTGGAACATTTCCATCGCTCTCTTCTTTCTTCATTTTGGAGAAGCTATTGGAGAAAATACACGTCTAAAAACTCCAAAACCTTTTTTTTCCTTCCCATTTCGAAGGAGCTGTTGAAGATGCTCTATAGGCTAGGCTTGGGGCTCCTCCCCATAAGTCGCAGGTTAGTCTCATCAGGGCCACTGAGGATTTCTCTAGTTGTTATCTTCAGGACCCCATTGGATTACTTGAGGTGTGTGCAAGTTGGCCCGGACACCTTTGGTTACTAAAAAAACACCCTTTATAACATCTTTTACACCCTTCATTCCACAACAAGTGTCTTCCAAACTTCGCAAAGATCAATAAGATTGCATCATGCAACATGGGATTAATTCCTCTTTGCTATGGCCCTGTTGATCTTAATCCTAAACTGGAAGTAATAAACCTTTATTTGTTTGTGTGAATGGCAGAGGAAATTGTTGTCAACCTATGAGGTTGTTTCAGAGAAAGAAAATTCAGATGTTGCGGTGGACGCCCTTCTCGAGTGTCAACCTGAGGAAGTTGGTCATTTTGGGTAAGGAACATATACCACCATCACGATGTAAAGTATTTGTCTTTCTATTTGACGAATGATACTAGTTTCGTAAAATATGACAGGACTTGAATAAATAAGTGTGAGCTCCTGCATTTAACATAAGTTGTAAGCAGCATCTTCTGCTTCTGCCATGAGAATCTGGTTTGCGCAGCTCGTCTGTTTGAGCTCCTACTAATGTGTGTACATAGCACAGCTGTTTTCGGGGGTGGGGTGCTGGAGGAAGTGATGAAGTCGTGTCACGGGAATGTATAATGTAAAAGATTGATTCATGAAAAAATCGAGTTTATAGCCAACTGTTATAACTGTATTTGTAAAATGTTTGAAATCGCCTATTTTGATGGTATGTTTATTTTTTACATTTTAACAAATTATACGTTTGGAACATTTGTGCTACTTTTTACCTTTTTAAGTTTGAAATGTCCTACATTTTTAACTTGTAATGACATTCTGGCAAAGTCTTGCTCTATTTTTTTTATTAACCTGGATATCCAACTCGTTATGCAAGCCGACTAATCCCAGGGCGACCACTTGCTTTGCAGATAGTCCGGATTTGAACCTGTGACCTCTTGGTATCTTTAGAGCCAAACTCAAACCAATGAGGCACCACCCTTTGCAGATAGCAAAGTCTTGCTTTTTGCCTTCATAGAGTATAGATTGGGGGACTGTTTATTCAGCACGACAATTGTTACTCAAGGCTTGTAATTTTATGTTCTCATGCAGGTAGTTTTTAAGTTGGGTATTTGATTCCCTTGTCTTCGGTTGACACCCTTGTCGATCACGTTATTAAAGTAATTGAGGAGCATAATTGAAAAGCCCCTTGGCAACATTTCGATTCGGTGGTTATGTTTAGTGGAAAAAGAAGAGGGTAATGCTTCTTATTGTCAAAGAAAATTCCATCTTAAAACCCCACATTGAAAAATCTTGACTGCCTTGAAAGCCATGGATTTAGTGCAACCAATTAATACCAGGGGTGTTCGTCGGTTGAAACATGATGGATTGAGGTGGATCTAATCTGATCGAATCATCCATTAGATGTTAGATTTTGTCATCCGATCCAATCCAACTAACGTTGGACAATGGATGATTAGATCAGATCGGTTTCATTAATTGGATATTATTATCTGTTATCTATTGTTTTGGAGTGGATTCATCCAATATTTTGATTCAATTTCAACTAATTAATCCACAGTTTCAACCAATTGTTCATGTAGTTTCTTAAGTTATTAAACACAATGCATATTATCAACTAAAAAACAATATCATAAAATGTTAATAGTTATATATAGTTACAAAATTATATGGTAGTTGAATGATAATTGGATGGTGGTTGGATTGGATCAGTTCGGTCTTATTGGATGATGAGATATCATCAAAAAACCGATCGATCCAATTTGAATGTTGAAATTTTGAATCTAATCGGATCCAATCATCGATTGGATTGGATCAGATGCCCGAGTTGGATTAGATGGGATGACAAAATCCAAAATCTAATAAATGATTGAATCAGATCATATCCACTTAAATTTATTGCATTTCAACCGATAAACACCCTAAACCCACTAATTGGCTCCAACATGCCATAGATCTAAAAGAAGCTGCTGCTTCTAAAGATGCCAAGAGACCGATTTGCATCACTTTTGGTTCCCTGCTTGTTGGTGACGAAGCTCTCCAACGAGCAATCTCCGAACGCCCACAATGGAATTTCTTGAACATGGTCGCAAAACCGATCCTATTGCTAGTTTTTTCACATCAAATAGTCCATACAAGCTGTTCGGCGCCTCCCTCTTTTACACAGAATCAATCGGGCACACTGTTTTTGAAAATCAAGGACTGGTCCTCGCAGTCCTAGACGCCATGGCGTCATCGGGAGTTGGAAATACATAAATCCCTGATTATGGAACCATTTGAAGTCAATCAAAAGGAAGACCTTGTATCGTGGGGTTTCAGAATCCGACATTGTCATTGGTTAACATCCATTCAATGTTGGAGGAACCGAATCGATCCAATCATCCATTAGATGATGGATTTTGACAACTGATCTGATCCGATTAACATTGACAACCAAACCGATCAAATCCAATAGATGATTGGATTGGATTGGTTCGGTTCCATCTATCGGATATCCATCCATCGGATGATCCAATGTGATTGGATCAATGTAATATGCTAATCAATCAAAATTTCGAACAATGAAATAAATTAATTAATTACTATTAATATGTGTTAAAACCAACACAAACAAAACTAAAAATTCAAAAACGACAAAAAACAAATTCCGATATAAGAAAATCGAAGACAAATTAACTGGATGATAGTTTGATAATGGTTGGATGCCTAATTAGATGGTCATCAAATGGTTAATTGAATGATAATGGGATGTTGGTCAGTTCAGTTTGGTTGGTTCTGGACTGTCATCCAAGAACCAACCAATCGAAATTGAATGTTGAAATTTTCAATCCGATCCAATTATGACAGGTCATTTATAATTGAATTGGACTGTTCCAATTGGACCAGTTGATTTTCTGCACACCAATAATTATTAAACTAATCAGAGCCACATGGTCTTACAATGCGGAGCTAAAGCATGCTACATGAAAGCACGACTTTCTATGTAGTATTGTCACCCCCTGTTACTAGAATGTCCTTTCAATCAGTTGATGAAAGCCGGCTTATCGCATAATCAACTTGACAGTGTGTAAATTACAAGGTAGATTCAAACATCTCTCTAACACGATTTACCCAAAGGTAAGCAGTTACACCCTAAAACGTAATGCTTTTAAATCAGGAACTATTGATAACGTTTGGAGCATTTCACACTATAAAAAATGCAAAATTTGTTTTTAAACTTGGCAACTTGTATCATTATAACATATGATATTTAAAACGTTTCACACAATATATCATATCTGTAACTTTGTGTTATAGACTCTTTGAATTGACCCAACATCATTAGCTTGAACTAACATTATGACCTATTTTGATAGAGTAAAAGACAAAAAATGGACAAATATACTCCTTATTTAACGATATTTTTAATGATCGTTAGAGGGAGGGACTAAATCCGGACTTTTTCCCAGAACCATAATGGTCATATTATTAATTTCAAAACTACAGGTACGAAAAGTGTTAATTTCAACAAACCATAGGGACCATATTTGTAGTTTACTCAACAATCAAACCATACTTGATGGACCCGGGCCTTAACAAAAGGTTAAAAAGTCCAACCATAGTGGCTGCAACATCGGCCCACCCTGATCAATAGTCCCTATTTATCAACAAACACCATAACTAGGGTTTCAGATGCTGCAAACTGAAGAACCCTAACGGCCTACCCTTCTGCTCATCCATTTCCAAGCGGCAATCATGGTAAGTCTCCATTCATCCTTATTCCATTCTGGTTTTCTTTCGAAAATTGTCTGAATTTGATGATCGTTACTTGCCAATTTTTGTGATTTTTTAGATCATCACTGAGAAGAATCGTAAAGCCATCTCCAAATACCTTTTCCAAGGTATCATTTTATGTATAATTATGTATTTGAAGATGTTTGCAGGTGTCTCACGCTGTTTGTGGTTACTGATAATTACTGGACTTTATGTTTATACAGAGGGTGTTTGCTATGCTAAGAAGGATTACAATTTGGCGAAGCATCCAGAGATCGATGTGCCGAATCTGCAGGTGATTAAGCTTATGCAGAGCTTTAAATCGAAGGAGTATGTTCGCGAGACATTTGCTTGGATGCACTACTACTGGTATCTCACTAACGATGGGATTGAGTTCCTAAGGACTTACTTGAACCTTCCATCTGACATCGTTCCTGCTACTTTGAAGAAGTCGGCTAAGCCTCTTGGACGTCCCATGGGCGGACCTCCAGGCGACCGCCCTCGGTAATATTCTCGAAACCTGTTCATTTGAAGACTTACAATAGATTGATTTATTTCGATTATGTGGTGTAAATTGTATGCTATGTTTCATTGAATTTTCAGTGGCCCTCCTAGATTTGAAGGAGATAGACCGAGATTTGGTGACAGGGATGGGTATCGTGGTGGTCCTAGAGGCCCTCCCGGCGAATTTGGCGGTGAAAAGGGTGGAGCTCCAGCTGATTACCAGCCTGCTTTTAACAGGGTAACGATTTTCATTTTCATTTTCATTTTCATTTTCATTTGATGATAATCTTTCTTACTGTTTTATGTTCTTGGTGCCTGACTAAGTAGTGGTTAAAGAACCTATGAGTTTTGCAATTGGCTCTTTCTTAAAGCCAAGACTTCAATATGGATGGAGTTTAGTTATGACCTGTGATTGAATCTTGGCATTAAACCATGAACTTGTTTAAATATTTGTAATCTGTTTTACTGTCTGTTGCGTGTTGGAAAGAATTGGTATTTCAAGAATAACACAATTACAGACTACAAACACGTTGTATTGTACATGGTTGATCTTGTTTTTTCGTGAACAGCCTTGCTTAGCTTTCTAGTTACATTTTACAGTCAACACTTGCAATATATTAAAGCACCCTCTATATCATGTTTCATGTCCGGTTTTGCATTCACATACTGCGTCTATTTTTCTATCTAAGCCTCCCCTTCCCCCTGTTGGGGGGGCTTCTTTACAGAAGCAACTGCTCTACCATCTGGGTAGAGGTCAGGTCTGCCTACATTTTAACCTCTAGATGGCAAAATAGGTGGGATATACCGGGTGTCTATTGGTTTATAGTATTTTGTTATTGACAATAATCCAAACCGAACGAACCCAATGAATTCTACATGGAATAGGGTTGACGTCTGTAGGAGGGTAGGATATCGGCATCCAACTTTAGACTTTTGATGATGTTTCATTGTTTTCCTAGATGCAGGCCTTCCACTGTATATGTTGGTTAATTGATGCACCTATCATTGGAGTATTCCTGCTAATATTAGCTGTTGCATCTTTGAGAATTGAGATTGTTTTACTCATGGTTGCTGAAATTCCCATTTGCAGGGTGCTGGTGGAAGGCCCAGCTTTGGACGTGGAGGTGGTGGCTTTGGAGGTGGTGCCCCACCTAGCTCAAGTTTCTCTTAAACATTACGGTGGTAGTAGTTTTTGTTTGATTAATTTTGAAATGCCAGGATTAGCCGAATGCTACTGTTACAGCACCTGAGTTATGTGATCCGATAATGATTTTGTTGAAATTCTGGATTTTGTTGAAGTTCTGATCAGATTGTCCTTCAAGTTTCATTATATTTTGAACTAATATGTATCCAATATATGTTCCATGCCATGGTCAATTCGTAAGCTTTTTTCTTGTTCAGTTGACATGCAAGCAGGTGCGTTTACTAGAGATGTCCAAACTGGGTAACTGGTTGGGTCTAAAGCCAGTTATGACTGGCTGGTTAACCAACCAGTTATCCTGGTCCTGGTTGTAATTGGTTGCTGGATCCAATCATTGGTGGTGAAAAACTTCTGTTTTCTCAGATTATGAGGCAGGATGTTTTCGGTGTTTTTGCCTCATTTTCTTGTAAGTTTTTTTTGTTAGTAGCTTAATTGGACTCTGGCAGTGGTTTAATGATATAGTAAACAACTTATTTAGTAAGTTTCTAAGAGGAATTTTATGCAATAGCCAAATATTTTCTTTTCAAAGCATGTGTTCCTTCTAACTAAAAAACATATTTTTATTTCATATATGAGAAACACTTGTAAACAAAAACTTTCCCGAGCTATACATAGAGATTAAGCAAGCACAAACAACTTGATCCATAAAAGACTTGGGGGATGTTTGGTTGGTTTTTCATTAAACACTGTATGGGTAGGGCTGTAAACGAACCGAACGAACATGAACAGAGATTTGTTCATGTTCGTTCGTTTAACTTAACTGAACAAACGAACGAATACGAATGGTATACGAACGAAAATCTTTGTGTTCGTGTTCGTTCGTTTAGAAATCAGGTGTGTCCGTGTTGGTATATGTTCGATCGTTAACATGTTAAACGAACGAGCTAAACGAAAATAAACGAACAAGTCTAAACGAGCATAAACAAACGAACATCACCACGTGTCATTCAATTAACTATTGCACACCAATTATCCATAGTTTAAATCTACACAAAACAATCACCAATCATCAACCCTTCACGACTTGTAGAAGGTTTCATCTGAAGGCTAGGGTTTTGAGGGAAATGTGAAAAGGTAAAAAATTCAAATTAGACAAAATGATGATAAAATTTAAATAAATATTATTTGAATTCAAATTAAATCAATAAAAGATTATATATTAAATTTAATATATAAACGAACAAATATAAACTAATGTTCATGAACATAAATGAACAAATGAGACTCTTCTTCATATTCGTTCGTTTAACTAAACGAACAAAAAAAATTGTTCATGTTCTTTCGTTTATTAAATAAACGAACTTCTCGTCGAACGGTTCGCTAAACGATCAGTTCGTTTACAGACTTATGTATGGGTTAAGTCGTCTGTTTTGATTTAGTTGTTTGTACGAGTATGGCTAAATTGTTGTTCGCTTGTTTTGTCGAATAAACTGGTTAAACAGTATAAATGACGAATTTATCCTTGGTGTTTGTTTTTGCCTTTTCATTTATTTATAGATATCTTGATTATTAATTTAATCATTAGATGGGATTTTAAATAATATAGTAGGTTTGATCATCGATACATAAAAATCCAATTTTGAGTCATCACCTGCAATGAAATCCAACCCCTTCACCCATTAGGCCATTACTAAACCCTATCACTGCACTTTTGATTATCACCCAACCGGTCAACTCATTACCAAATAATAAAAACCCAAAACAAATACCTGGATTAGATGACCTACCAAAACAATTTTTATAGCCATGGCTGTAGATCTCATGAGAAAGAGAGGGAAATGAAGAGAGGGGCTCTGGTAGGGTCGTGGATCTTGTGAAAAAGAGAGGGAAAAGAAAAGGGGTGCGAGTAGGGGCGGTGGATATTGTGAAAAAGAGAGGGAATAGAAAAGGGGTGCGAGTAGGGGCGGTGGATCTTGTGAGAAAGAGATGGAAAGAAAGGGGGGGGGGCAGAGAATGAATATGATGACATTGGAAGACGGGAAGCTGGTAGACCGACGACAAGAAGGGAGAGCTCAAATGGAGGTGCCGGGAGTTCCAAGGATTTTATTTTTGTTAATGATGACAGTGTGTTTTAAAAGCAGGGTATTTTGGCTGAATGTAAACAAGTGCCCTCCTAAAGCTGTCTGAAGAAACCCTTGATCTCCATATTAAGCCATAAAAGAACAACCTTTTATGGCTAAGCGAATAAGCTATATGGGTTATACAACCCATTAAGCCACAACCGAACATCCCCTTAATAAAAACAACCAAATAGCCCCTAAGTTTGCTATACAAGAGGTATTTGGTTGCAAATATTAAGAAAGATGAACGTATACAATGCTTCCATAGCTTCTATACCTATTTATTTTTGGAATATCATATCCCGGATAAAGAAAGAACAAGAGTAACAAAAAATGACGACTCAAATCAAGATCTATATGGTATCCTATATCAAATCATAAAATTAAAATAGATTCAGAAAACGCCAAAAATAATAATTATATCATCGTTAAGAGGTGAATCTTGTTTAGCAAAAAAAGTCTATCTTTTAATAAAGTTCTAAAACTTTCTTAATGATTTTGTATCATATGTCTCCTTTAACCGTTCAACGTCATAATTTCATTGTAAAGAATTATAACACAAATCATATTTTATTTTGCATTATATTATGAAAACCTCTTAATCATTCTGCACCAAACTATTCAATCATTTGAATAAAAATATAATAATTATCTAATAAATGAAAACAAAGTGAGTAATTAATAATAATAAATATAAAAACCGTTTGCAATAATAGTTTTGAAACCGGCGATCCTACTCGACGGTAGTCGTTGCAGCATTTTAGCTTTGTTCAACAACCCCCAAATCAGATCGTCTTCTTCGTCTCTTCCCCAATCTCCCAAGTCAAATGTCCAACTCTACAATCCCATGGCCCCCGGCATGAGGAAGAAAGCAGCTACTGCTAAGCGATCCAACCTCCTCAAACCCCAACACCCACCTCCAATGCCTGTCTCTTCTAATTCTCCTTTTCGAACCACTAAGTTCGTTCTTCTCCTTTCAATCTTGTCGGCCGTAGTCCTTGTTGCGCTTTCTTGGAATACCCTGAGTTTCTTCAGATCTAACACTCCTGTCACCGACCAAATTCACTCATTCGAAGTCGTCAACGAGTTCCCTCACGACCCTGATGCTTTCACACAGGTCGATGTTTCCTTCATTAGATCTCTCGATGTATTTGGTGATTGTTCATCTTAATTGCTGCCTTCAGTTCCAAAGGAGAGCTGTATTGTGACTCTGGATGTCAATTGAGTTACTTTTCAACTTCAAAATTGATGCCCAGGTCAAAATTTTACAACAAAATTGATCTTCATCACAAAATAATATAAGTTCATAACGTTTTGATGTCTTTTAATAAAATCCATATTGAAGTGTTGCTGTCTAGATTCTTTTTGGCAATGAAGAGAGTAATTCGGAAGTATGCTGTAACAAGTGTTTGATGTAAAGCCTTGGTTGCTTTCAGGGGCTTTTGTACGGAGGGAACGATACATTATTGGAATCAACCGGCCTCAATGGACATGTGAGTTTTAATTCTTATGGAATTAGGTCACTTCGCATTGTTGGTTAATTCTAGATGCTGAGCTTTCCAAAGACATATTGTATGCTGAAATAGCTAAACAGTGCAAAATATTGTGTCAAATTATGACTCATGGATGTTTTAAACTTGTAAATTATTGGCTTTGTTATAATTGGATGTAATTCTTACATATGGGATTACAAACACATATTGTCTTCAAAGTCTTTCTCTTTCTTTTTGTGTATCATGGTATTCTTAGTAGTTACACTTTACAATTGAAGGTTTTGTCATCAGCTTTTGGTTCATTTGTGGTTCCTTGATTGACATTTTCTTTTTCTGATTCCAGTCATCAGTTAGGGAAGTGGATCTTCGGACCGGAAAGGTACATTCATGCTCAACATTCTTAGTGTGTTTTGTGAATTCTCCACAATGAAGGGTTCCCTAAATTTATATTTCTTGAAATGCAATTGCGTCATATCGCGTTTCATTTAACAGGATGCCTATATAAGAGTTTTATCATTTATATCTGTTCAATTAAAGCTGAAAATGGATCACAAAATCTTTAGAGAAACTGTCACACATCTTTAACTATAGCATTTGAAACTTAAAGTTGATTGTGTTCTTTGTATTCCCAGATCAAGGCCCTGCAAAACATGGATTATTCTTATTTTGGAGAGGGTTTAACTCTTTTGGGTCAAAGGTGAGTCAACAACCTTGTGTTTTTGCAATTTAAACTACCTATGCTAATACTTGTGTACATTCATGCATTTTATTATGCCCATATAGTTGGATATGTTGCAAGGATGGAACACACTTCTTGTTTATTTCTTTAAATTCTACAGTGACAGTATTGTATTTAACCATTTATGGTTGGTTCACTGGTTGTACTTCAAAGTTGACAAATCGACAACCAATCTACTTCTTAATTGTTTTGTTTTGCACTGCACCTCACTCAGTATCTTGATAGTTGATATAGGTGATTTTTACAAGGTCTTGTATTGGAAGAAATGGTGAAATGTCTAAATACTAGGAAACCTGAATAATGTCTCTCCAAATAAATATGTTATAATTGTCACTACGAACTCCTTTAATTTCACTTTCTTTTACATCAAGCTAGCTATGAACTTGTGTTTTTGCGCTATGTGTCAAACTTATTTTTTATTCCATGCATGGTTTCAAATTTCTATTTGTGCTTGCATCTTCTCTCTATGCAAATAGCTTTGAACATTCTGCAATGTTCTTTTTTTGTTTGTTTGTTAGGGCTTCATTATTGAGGGTCTCTTTTGCTGATGTAAAAATCTTATGCATTTTTGTAGGTTATATCAAGTAACTTGGTTGGGGAATACTGGTTTCATATATGACCGATATAATTTAAGCAAAGTTTGTGACACTTCACCTTTATCCATGCATAATTGGCGTTCTTTCAATATATTTTTGCATGTGTTTGCATAAGACTTCTGAGTGACTAGTAACAAACAAGCATTTGATTTCCATGACATTTTGCTGCCATGAATTCAGCATGAAGTTGTAGCAAGCAGTATTTGATGATTATATTAGTAATTTTCTACTTCTAGTTGGTGATCACTGCAGTTATTCTGTAGGACACTGGTCCTATTAAGTTGACCAGTTTTAGTTTGTTAATTATGAACGAGGACAAACTCTGAGTTAGGTCTTCATGGTTACTTAGGTGTCATGTTGAAAACAATAACAATTTATATCTATATTTTTCTCTAGGTAAACCATTTAGTATAAGTTTCTGCTTTTTAACAACTCAAAATAGTTCCCTGCGAAAGCAGTATCGAAAGCCTTGGCCTAATGATTCAATGTGGCTACTATGTTTCATGATTCTGGTACTCATTTTAGTTATGAACCACCAGATATGGCAATTGATAGAGAAACTTAGGGGCCCTATACCAAACGCCCACCGAGTAAATGTTTACCGGCCGGAGTCACCACCATCACTTACCTTATTGGGTAGCATTCTTCCATCAAAATGGATTGTTGGTACGTGGTAACCGCTAACTGGATAAGAGTCTTCCCCCTCGCTTGCCGGGTAAGATTATCGGTTCTTGTCATGCTCAGCAGGTATGGTAAGTGATGCCTGGTAAGCGTTTGGTAAATGACTCTTAACTCTATATAGATGCATATAGGTCTGGACTTCTCTCTGGGAAAAAAATTATTTTCCACATTAATGTGGAAGTGGGGAATTAAAAATCACAAGTTGGGAGGATAACGTATCAAGATGACTTGTCATACTGTTGATTTTATCCGACTTCTTCTCATATGGGTTTTTTTTTCTTCTTATCACCTCTGATTTTGAAGTTCAATTTTCATTCTTATAATATTATGTGGTGTAACTGTCCTTTCATTTTAATTTAAAATATGATCACTATGCATTTCATTTTCTGTTCTTAGAGAGTTACTTGGGATTCTTACATCTCAATGTCCATTGCAGTTCAAAAAATTTACTCATGATATGAAAGATGGTTGGGGATTAGCAACTGATGGGAAAGTACTCTTTGGAAGCGATGGATCCTCTTCCTTATATCACATCAATCCTCGAACAATGAAAGGTAACATTGGGCCACAGGCCACTTGGTTCATTTATAGCGATTTTGAAAATTGATCAGGTTTATCTGGTCCAAGGGTGAAGGGGCTAATAGTTTCTAGAGACTTGGTTTTGTGTTTTATTATGGAATCGGATTTTGGACCATATCTTTTTGTCATCTTCACCTAGTCTAATTTTCATCTTCCTGTGGATGCAGTTACAGCGGAGCTGGTTGTTAAATATAAAGGTTTTGAGGTGCATAACCTCAATGAATTAGAGTACATAAACAATGAAATTTGGGCAAACATTTGGCAGGTATATTTCTGACCTAATTCTTGTACTTGAAGGCTGAAGCATTAAATATATGAGCTATAAAGTTGTCATAACGAGTGTGCGAATGCCTGAATTTTGTTTTTGTTTTTGTTTTACTAACTTTTCTCACTCCAGGATATATTTTGTAGTTGGGACTTGGGCCCTTCAAATGAATTAGAAATTGAAATGTTCTATTATTTAAAATTCGACAAATCCAAGAATTTGCAATAAAAGAAGGGGATATAGAGCCTGCAGGGGGAAATACCCTGTTGTGCTAGACAAAGAATTGAAAAAGATGCTAGGTGTGCCCAAACAGAAACTCCAGGGGCCAAAGATACACGCATTGGAACATGCCAACAAAAAGACACTGATCACTCAAGTTGAACAACCACACAAAACAAAAGCTGCAACTAAGAAAAACTACTGCTAACTTAAAACAAAAAGTTTGCAATATGCTCTTTTACGTATGCACTTGAAATGTCCTTGCTTTGTAGAGTGACTGCATAGCTAGAATCTCACCTGCAGATGGAACTGTGATTGGATGGATTCTCCTTCCAGAGTTGAGGTACTACTCTTACTTCTATCCACTTCTTCCCTCATGATGCAATTACCATCCATGTGTACGAACACATGTGGATGCTTGTTATTGCTCAATTCTTTTCCTGCTTGACTCAGCTAATCATCTCGGTTTATTTCTTTCCATTTTTCTAGAGAGGGATTGCTGGCAGCTGGCAACAGAGTAAGCATATGTTCTTGAACTGATTTTCACTTCAGTTTATCACTGCAAGTCATCTAGTTATAAGAGCGAGAATGGCCATATACAAAATCTTCACTTTCCCAATTAATTTCGGTTGAATCTTTGCTGCTTTCCAGATTGATGTGTTGAATGGGATAGCATGGGATGTAGATAAACAACGCCTTTTCGGTAAGCTTCCAAAAGCTATGCCGTGAATCAATATATGCTTTACCATTAATTTATCTATTGAATTGATTCCATTTCTGAACCAAACAAGATTATCCCCTTAGTCCTGTCTATGATGACGACATCTGCTGGCATGTGATGTTTGAAATAATCTTATTAGGACCCTGACTCAAACATATGAATTCCAGTTGTACATCCACCAACTATAGATATTATGAGGGGTAGCTCAACTGGTAAGACCTTGGATTTACTTCCTTGAGGTCGTTGGTTCAAGTCTCCTCAGGGCCACCGGAGGGTTTGTCTGACTGTTAACTTTAGGGCCTCCTGGGATTTGTCGAATCTACTCACGTGGAGCTTTTGTTGGTAGATGTTTGCTTGGTTTAGAACTCGATACTTCACATACGACTATCAGGCATCTCAATAAGTCTAGCTATCAGGCATCTCAATAAGTATAGCATGTAACACCTAGCATTCTTGTATTTGGGAGTATTTGTTTCTTCGAGTCCAGTATATCGCTTTACATCTTCATTCTTTAAGTCCCATCTTGGACATCATGTTATTGGCCGATTTCAAGTATGAACATATGATTTGTTGCAGTGACGGGGAAACTGTGGCCAAAACTATACGAGATAAAAGTGCAGCCACTGAGGAAACCTCTACAGGCACCTGTAGAACGAATCTGCTTAAGGGACCCTGTTCATTTTACAAGGAATTGAAATGAAGTAAAGAATGATATTTAAGAATCTATGATTTATACATGATGTTCTGATGTCGTATATTCGAGCCGATTACAAGTCGTTACAAATGAGTCAACTTAGGCATGAGTTTTAGTAGAGATTCATGGCAGGGTAGAATTTTTTCGAAGTTGTCTGTGATCTATCCAAATTTACCATAAATAGCAATGTCTATGATAACAAGTATTGTTTTAGTAGAGATTCGTGCTTAATGTTGCTGTCGTGTTATGTAAAAAGAATGAAGGTGATCACAAGGGTGGTGTCTGATTGGTTTGAGCTTGGCTCCAAAGGTCAAAAACATCAGGAGGTTTCAGGTTCAAATCCAAGGAGGAATAAAAATCCTCTTGTGGCCACGAAGGTTCAAATATGGTGACTCCAGGCTATCTGCAAAGCAGGTGGTCGCTCTGGGATTAGTCGGCTTGCATAGCGGGTTGGATATCCAGGTTAATAAAAAAAAGAATGAAGGAAAAACAATTGAAGATGGATATGTCTTAATGTTTGGCCAAATTATCCATGGCTTAATCAAATTGTAGCTTTCACTATTCTAAACCATTTGGCAATTCTTCATTCCGATTCAAAAGATGATTTTATTTAAGTGAATTTCCATACATTACTTTATCAATTAAGACACTTTTGTTATTTTAATCGTAAAACTTTTAATTTAATGTCATAAACCTTTATATATTGTTTATTTATTACCTGTTCAGTCAATCTACAATAATAATTTAAACCTATAAAAAATCAAAAAAAATCTCATGAAAAATGTTTAATACGTAGAGGAGAAGACTGATAAAGACTAGCAAAAAAAACAAAGTGGTCAATGAAGTGATTTGTGACTAGCAATTTCATCAACTTTTGGTGGTAGTTTGGCCATGGATGTGCAATATACACCATATTTTAAGGGGAAAAAAAAAGACAAAAACAAATCATAAGAGTGGTGTTTGATTGGTTTGAGTTTGGCTTTAAAGGTCAAAAAGTAACAGGAGGTCCCATGTTCAAATCCAAGGAGAAATAAAAATCCCCTTGTGGTCACGGAGGTTCAAATGCGACGACTCTGGACTATCTGCAAAATAGGTGGTCGTTCTGGAATTAGTTGGCTCATATAACGAGTTGGATATTTAGGTTAATTAAAAAAAATGTTTAATTTAAATATTGAGTAAATTTAATTAATAATAAAAAATAAAATAAATGGGGAATGGGCCATTCCGTGTTGGAAGCACAAAGAGACATAAGAAACAAAAAGCAAAAAGGCACACACACATAAATAATGCAGGAGACGTGTCCATTTCTCACAGCATTTATAACATATCCTATGTTTCATTTATTATTTTTAAATAATAATTAATAATTCCAAAATAAACATTTAATCAGAAATCCATGTTCTTTTAAATATTAAATCAAAATTGATTTTTTTATAGCAATTTGCTACTTCACCGTAAATTCCTCTTCTACCCTTCTCTCCCATGTTAAACTACAAACTTACCATCGTTTGTATTTTTCTATTTTTGTTTTTTTTAAAATTTTCAGTTTTAAATTGATTCTCTGAAATTAATTATTACAAATGATAAAATTGATGACAAAAAGTTATAAATTAATAAAGTTTTATTTATCCTTATCTTTTCTTTTTTATAGTTAATAAAATAGTACGTGGATCTGGTAAAGTTCGAAGGATTTATTTTATAATTAAGGATTCATTTACCAAACGCTTATCTGAGTAAGCGTTTATTAAGTCACATTCTTATCGGATGAATATGATAAGGAATAATAATCTTATCTGATAAGAGCGAAACAAGAATCAAAAGTCTTATCCGATTAGTGAAAATAAGCGCTTACTGGATACATTGTTGTATACAATGTTGTTTTGATGGACAAAAATCTTACCTGGTAAGTGATGCAACAACTCTTACCATGGTAAGTGCTTACTGGGTAAATTGTTGTATATGGCGTCGTTTTGATGGACAAAAATCTTATCCGATAAGTAAATGCTAGTGTTAAATGAAAAGAAAAGAAAAGCAAAGAGTGTGATAAGGGAAGGGAAAACCATCCGGAATTTGAGCATTGCATATGGGAATGTTGAAATGTACATAGGATGCCCATGTGCCTCATATTCCTCATTATAACATCACCATCTTCCCTAATTTCATTTCATTTTTTTAATTTCTTAATAATTATTATATTCAAACTTTTATATATATATATATATATATATAGAGAGAGAGAGAGAGAGAGAGTCCTGTTCATTTGTTAACCATATAAATGATGTTAACTTTGTTAACCAATCCCAACTGTTTAAAAAGTAGATCTATGGTTGAGATTAAACAAAGGCAGGTTTCTAAATAGGTTAAAAAGAGAGTGTGTACTCGGTTATGAAAGATAGGTGAACCATTATGAACAAAGGTAATTATGTAACTTGACTAACCACAACTAATTAGAAAAAACCCATGACTCTGATTCACTCCATCATCGGTCGATTTTGTTCCAATTTCGAAGCGACTACCAGTGAAAGCGTAATCATCGATATCACATTGGAGATCATGGACGACTTGGGAGAGAATCATGGATGGAACAACTAAAGCGATTTGAGATGAACAAGATTTTTCTTTTCAATATAAAACTCGTTATTAATTTGTGGTAAATGTTCAATGTTTCATTGGTAAGAACATCATGAACTCATTGTGATATTTACGTATTAGTTGGTAACTCTTGTTGTATAAAACCGTTTTAGCAATTATGATCTATAAGGTTCGAAAATGTTCAAGGCTGATCATTGATATCCTTTTAATTTGTAGTTTAGTTGTTCACCACTGAACATTTATCAATGGAGAAGACAACCAAATCAAAAAAATATGATCAAGATATATCCCTGGATAAGAAAACAAAAGTAGTATGCCTTATCTCGCCTCTGTAGTTTATATATATGTATATGTATCTTTGTTATCTCATTTTCCAGTGTAATCAAAAGTTTTAGGTGTAACAGGGTCTCCAAAAAGACTGAAGCATCCCTCCTCTCATGTCTCATCCTCTGCTCTTTCCCCTGTCTCTTCATGTGCTCGCCTCAGCCACGTCTTCTGCTCACTTCCATCTCTTGACCTTGTCACACATCGAAGTTCGAGAAGTTCAACAATGGCTACAACCATCAACTAAAGATCATGTACCCGATTTCTGTACTCACCGATGTCAATTTTTCTCCCATCTATATACTTCTTACCCCGGGGGGGTCGAAATGTTGTCTTTCAAAGAGGTTCGCTCTCCCTTCGAAAAACCCGTAGCATATAATTTTTTTTATAGCATAATGGTAAAAGGATTGTAAGTCTTCTTATATGTTAATTGTTATTATTATTTGGATAAAATGACACATGTAATGTTTGCCAATTCTTGGTTAAGGTTTAGTGTACTTGACTTCTCCACTTTGGTTGTTTGGTAGTTAAATGAGGTGCCCCATGTGAGCACATGGTTGTAAGAATGAAAAGTTATGGCTAAGACCCCCTTTATGTTTTACCAAGGTAAACTCGATGATTACTGGTCGAATAAGAGTCATCATTCACCATTTTTACTTGTTTTACTGGGTAAAATTCTTGGTCATTAAAAAAAATCAAAGTGTCTTTTACCCGATAAGTACTAACCATGTAAAAGTTGCCATCCTTACTGGGTAAATTCTCGATCAGTAAACCGACACAATATTCATTACTTAATATAGAAACAAGAAAGAATCAAAAATTGAAAAATTAATGAATGAACATCAACCCTTCAAAATAGGGTACACATTATCAACCAAAACACACCCGCAAATTGCCCACTTGCAAAGAGGACACAAACAAGACCACATGAGTCACGGACCATGCCGCAAAATCCAATCACACCCCACCCAATCGAGCCGTCTTGTTGTCGAACTAAAAGTTCAAAAGAAACAGAAGGGGACCGGCTACCGAATGGGGAATCGTTGTTACTTATTAGCCTCGTATATTCTACCAACAATCACAATTTACCGGTCTATGTGAGGATGGATTTGTGACCACAATTTCGTTCGTTCCTAAACTAAAATAGAAGGTTATCAGTACCCATTTTCTATTTTGATCCAGTTCTTTTCCAATGTTGATTATTAATCACATATTACGTTTCAAAAGATATTGATGTTGGTAAAGTAATTTTAGTACATAAGATTCTTCTATTTTTGTTTTTATAAAATATATTTAACCCAAACTTGACACGTTTGTTTTGACATAAACTGACTAGTTAGGTCAAAGATCGTTCGTCATATTTATTTATAGAATATGAATTATTAAATGATCATGGTTCAATGTACATAGAGATTGTATCTATTACCGATGTATATCTATATATTTATATATAAATAGAAAATGGAATGCAAGAAAATATTTCAGTTTAAATAATATATTATGTATTGTTAGAATTGAGTAATTTTTTAAGATGTATTGTTTTATTATTCAATATCTGTCAACTAACTTATCAACTAGTTTTATCAAACATAATTAGATTATCAGCTAACTTTCAACTAATTTGTTTATTGAATTAGAGGCATATTTTTGACTCTCAGCGCAAGGCATCCAAAATCATAGGATCGACCCTAAAGTTTACCATAAACTACATTAGAAATCCATCAAGGATCAAATATTCAAACTACATTTATGACTATTTCTATCATGTTCAATATTTTCATAAGCAAACACAAACTAAAGATTAAGAGATTTAGGATGAAAAACAAAAACACGAACAACAGTTTTAACTAATCAACAAATTAGTAAATGTCTTACTAACCAAGAAAACAAATAAGCGAATAAGTGAATAATCAATTAATCAGAAAAGAAAACACCTGGAGAAGGGCATTACGATTTAGGACATAATCTGAAAAATGTGAACCAGAATCGTAGAACATCAGAAGTACAGAATTGCAGAAGGCGAGTAGCTGAATCTAGTGAGAGGATGAGTCGCTGAAAGAAGATGTTGAGAGCAGAGAGCGAGAGGTTATGTCGAGAGGCAAAGAAAAGAGCGTCAGACTAAGAGCGGGGAGCGTATTCAGAACGATAGCCGAGCCTAGTATAACATATAAGAGGCTTGGGCCTCTACAGACCTGGGAAGGGTTCAAATAAGAACCCATGTGATTTACGAGAATGCGACAACAACCTACTAACCAAGTAATGTGATAACAATCAAGATTAAGGGATTTTGTAAATTTAAAATAATATTAAAAATAATTCAAGAAAAATTGAGAGGTGGCAGGATAAACTTGGATTTCGAAGTGATAATATTTAAATAACACGATCACGAAAAACTCCATCATCTGGGAACTGATAACATCATCGTCGACAGTGGTTATCTTGGTTATCTGGTAGGCCATTATTAGAGGAAAAAGGTTTCATAAGGTTTCAGAAGACAGAAAGTGCACTGGATGAAGAAATCGAACTGAAAGAAGTTTGAGAGATAAGTTTGCAGAGACATTTCATTCAAGGTTTGCTTAGCACAACTTTATCACACTTAGAATATGAATCGATCATTGTCGCTCAATTAGGACATTGTTTGGTTCTATTATCACAAGAAATCCGCCTACACTTTGTTCGGTTCGATTATGTTTCACGTATCACACATTTATCACAACCAATGCGAATTGAGTATCACACAATTATCACAAGAAATCCGACTACACTTTATTCGGTTTGATTAGGTTTCACGTATCACATGATTATCACAACTTCAATCAATATCGATTATCATATGGTTATCACCAAATATGACTGCACATTGTTTGGTTCGATTAGATTCATGTATCATACGATTATCACTGTTTAATCAATAGTAGGATTATCACACGAGTATCACCACATGTGAATACACATTGTTTGGTTCGTTAGATTCACGTATCACACGATTATCACTGCCCAATCAATATCGATTATCACACTATTATCATAGCCAAATACAAATATGAATCGTTTGAATAATCATGACGATCACTTGATCATGTACAAGCATCGATAGCTTCCTTACCTACAACATTGGAATCCTCCATTCTCGGTTGAAAAAGGAATTAGATACTTTGAATATCATAAATTTCGATACGATGGGAGAAAATGGTGAGAAGAAAACGTTGGACGTTCTATTCAACATGATCAGATACCAAGCTAAAATCATGAGATAATTTCAATTAATTAAAATAAGATAAAAATTATAAAAATACCTAATTACATTACTATCCTTATTGATTTATTTTTATTTAATATAACATAAATTATTGGTTAAAAAGTTTTGAGACTCACAATTTTTTCCACATTCTCGTAAATCATAGGGATTCTCGTTTAAACCAGTAGTTATATCATATAATATAAATCTATAATATCTTATAAAACATTTGGCTAAAACTCTTAAAAACTTTTAAACTCGTTCATCCCTAAACGATTTCATCCCATATTTGAATTCGTGTAACTAACTGCAGATAAACACAATCAAATACAGGATAAACATCTCATTTTAAATATAAAAAATCTAAAATATAATTAGTATAATCATTAAATTCTAACAGAATACTTAATTATTATCTTTATAAAATTAAACAAAAAAATAAATTGTTTTATTATTAAACTTAAATTAAATTATATATATAAAAATATATTTTATATTATAAATCATTTGACAAAAACTCTTAAAAACCATTTTTTTATACGTAAAGTATTGTTTATTAATGCATATTAGTTAAAACTCAAGATTACAAGTAGATTATGCGTAAGTACAACTTATTAAAGCTCCATATCTGAATTCGTGTAACTAATTGCAGATAAACATAATAAAATACAAGATAAACATCTTATTTTAAATATAAAAAATTTAAAATATAATTAGGATAATCATTGAGTTCTAACAGAATACTTAATTATTATATTTATAAAATGTTATATTATTAAAT